TCCCTGGCGTGCACGCTTGGGCCTTTGACCTTCCTTCCTCCTCCAGGGCCTTCTTGGAACTACGGGCCAAGGGACTAGTGGGCTCAACCCTCTCTCATCCACCGCCCTCAGCTACTCTGCTTTCCTGGAGTTCTTTTTATTTTTTTGCTTTTTGGGTCACACCCGGCGAGGCACAGGGGTTCCTCCTGGCTCTGCACTCAGGAATGACTCCTGGCCGTGCTCAGGGGACCCTATGGGATGCCGGGGATTGAACCCAGGTCGGCCGCGTGCGAGGCAAACGCCCTCCCCGCCGTGCTAGCGCTCTTGGAGTTCTTTGGAGACCTAACTTGGCGGTTCTTCTTTCTCCAGCCCGCTGTTTGTCGGGAACCTCTGGGACGTGACTGACCGGGACATTGACCGCTACACCGAGGCCCTGCTGCAGGGCTGGCTGGGAGCCGGCTCGGGAGCCTCCCTCCTGCACTACGTCAGCCAGGCCCGGCAGGCCCCTCGGCTCAAGTACCTTATCGGGGCCTCACCCGTCGCCTACGGCCTGCCCGTGTCCCTGCGGTGAAGCCTCAGAACTGCCCGATCACGGAAATCCTACCTCCGAATTTTATCCCTTGGATATATATATGTATTTCGAGTCATTTATATGAAATGTGTTTTATATGAAACATTTTCTTTTGATTTAATCTAAATATAATAAAAATGCATCTCTTCAACCCTATTTTATTGTTTGGTTTGGTGCTCTGGGGTGACTTCTTGCTCTGCGCTCAGGAATCATTCCTGAGTTTCGGAGACCCTAAGGGATGCTGGGGACTAACCCGGGTCGGCCACGTTCTGGGCAGGTGCCCTCCCCACTGTGCTCTTTCCAGCGCCCTTCACCCTATTTTGTGGGCAGGTCATCTGAGAACTTAGAAGATAGAACTCTTGCTCCCCTTCGACTCTGGTGCTACACACAGAACTCAGCACCAGGGTGGAAAGCAAACCCAGGGTCAGAGAGACAGCGCAAGGGCTGAGCACAAGCTACGCAGGAGGCCTGGGTTCGACCGTCTAGCCTTTATTATACCCTGAGCACCTGCAGGTATTTCCCCAAAACTGAAGATCAAAAAGTGGCCTGGAGTGATAGTACAGTGGGTAGGACTCTTGCCTTGCCGGCAGCCGACCTGGACTCGGTCCCCCAAACCCACAGGGTCCCCTGAGCCTACCAGAGCGATCCCTGAGCCCTGCCGAGGGTGGTCCAAAATAATAGCAGTAAAAAGACAAACCCCCACAGGATAAAGCTGGGCCTTAGTGGAGAGAGGCAGGGGAGTTCTGCCATCGACTCTCAGGGGCCAGAAGGCCCTGACCAGGGTGGGGCAAAGACCTACTGCCGAGTGTCCTCACCTTGTGTGCCTCCGGCTCTGTGCCGTCCTCCTGGCTCAGGGAGCCTCGCAGTGGAGCAGGTGGTCCTGCCTCGGTGCTGGTGGCCCCAGCCCCAGTGGCTGCGGGAGGCAGCACATCGGCCGCCCCCCCAGTTACACAGGCAGTTTCTGCTGTGCTGCTGCCCCCGGTCTCCGGGTTTCCTCTCCCTCACTAAGAAGCACAGAACTTAGCCTCACTCTCCCCACGTCTAAGGCCTGGCCCAGCCGCACCGCACTGCAGAATAAACCGAGTCGTACCAGCTCCTTAATCTTCTCTTCACCTCCAGACTCTAAGGCTTCACCCAGCCAAGGCCCCACTTTCATGGCTTTCCTGACCACACGTGACCACCCGGAATGGTCACTAGGCTCCATTCCACCCCAGACGCTGCTTTTCAACGTTGGGGGTTAGACCCGATGTCTAAGATTTTTGGAGTCACGGTTGGAAGCCTGACCCATGAGCTGGGGGAGGAGGCAGCTGGGACAGAGAAGGGATCACGAAGCCAATGATGGTCGGAGGGATCGCTCGGGATGGGAGACGTGTGCTGAAAGTGGATAAGGGCCAAACGTGCTGTCCTCTCATCTGTGTTGCAAACCATAACGCCCAGAAGTAGAGAGAGTGAAAGGGAAATTGCCATAGGACAGGGGGAGGGATACTGCAGACATTGGTGGTGGAAAATGTACACTGGTGGAGGGATGGGTGTTCGATCATGGCATGACTGAAACTCAAACATGAAAGTTTTGTAACTAGCTCACGGTGATTCAATCAAATAATAAACAGACTTTGGGAGTTTAAAATTATAAGCGGGCACCAGTAACCGTCTCCATTGTGAGATTTGTTGTCACTGTTTTTGTCATGTCGAATACGTCACGGGGAGCTTGCCAGGCTCTGCCGTGCTGAGGGGCTGAAGATAGGAAAGAAGGTAGGACGCTTCCCTTTCCCATCCCCGGTTCAATCCCAGCATCCTATATGGTCCCCTGTACACCACCAGAAATAATTTCCTGAGTGCGGCCCAAAACAATATCTGCCCCCCCCCCATAAAAAAATATAAAGGAAAACTTGGAGCCAAGGATGCAGTTCAAAGACAGCACTGCCTTGTATGTGTCAATCTTGGCACTGGAAAACAAAAAAAGATTTTAAAGTCCCTTAAAAACAGGAATCCCAGGGGGCTGGAGAGATAGCACACCGGGTAGGGCGTTTGCCTTGCACGCGGCCGACCCGGGTTCGATTCCCAGCATCCCATAGGGTCCCCTGAGCACCGCCAGGAGTAACTCCTGAATGCAGAGCCAGGAGTAACCCCTGAGCATCGCCGGGTGTGACCCAAAAAGGGGGAAAAAAAAAGCAGGAATCCCATACATCTAAACCACAAATATCAACACTATTATAATCTCGTTAAAATATAGCAATTTGTAAATTTTTATTTATTTTGGGTCTTGGGTGATCCCAGGCAGTGCTCAGGGGTTATTCCTGGCTCTGAACTCAGAATTGCTCCTATGGTATACAGGGGACCATGTAGGATGCCGGGGATTGAACCTGGGTGGGCCACAAGCAAGGCAAGTGGCCTTCCGGCTGGGCTATCTTCAGCCCTTTATAATTTAAGCTCCAAAATCTTAAACATCTTAGACATTGGGTCTAACCCCCACATAGGAAAGTGATGTCTGGGGTGGAATGGAGCCTAGTGACCAGCGGATGTGGACTGACAGGGGTAGAGCCTAGTGACTGAATTTCTTTTTCTTTTTGGGCCACACCTGGCATTGCACAGGGGTTCCTCCTGGCTTATGCACTCAGGAATCACTCCTGGTGGTACTCGGGGGACCATATGGGATGCTGAGAATCGAACCCTGGTCGGCCGTGTGTAAGGCAAACCCACCTGCTGTGCTATCGCTCCAGTCCCCGTGACTGAAATTTTTATTTATTTTGGTTTGGGGGAGATACCAGTGGTGCTCAAGGGTTAATCCTGGCTCTGCTCTCAGGAATTATTCCTGGAGGAGCTCAGGGAACCACAAGGGTTGCTGGGGATTGAACCTGGATCAGCCCCTAGCAAGGAAAGCAAGGAAAGGAAAGCATCCCACTCCCGCTGTGCAACCACTTCAGGCCCTCAACTATTATCACGATCACAATCATGATCATCCTGCTGTTCCTCGATTTCCTCGAGCAGGCACCAGTAACGTCTCTTTCTTCCTAGCCCTGAGATTTTTTTTTTTTTTGCTTTTTGGGTCACACCCAGCAAATGCACAGGGGTTCCTCCTGGCTCTGCGCTCAGGAATTACCCCTGGCAGTGCTCAGGGGAGCGTATGGGATGCTGGGAATCGAACCCGGGTCGGCTGCGTGCAAGGCAAACGCCCTATCCGCTGTGCTATTGCTCCAGCCCCTAGCCCTGAGATTTTAAAAGAGCCATTTCAATGCTCTTTCAGGATTAGGAGAATGAGACCCATCATTGTTACTGGTATTTGGCATATTGGGTACACCACGGGAAGTTTGCCAGACTCTGCCGTGCGGGCAGGACACTTTCGGTAGCACTGGAAAACAAAAACACCCAGTGCACTTTGTCTTATTATCTTATTTTTCCTTATTAAACTATTATATATATATACATACATACATACATATAGGTTGGAGTGATAGCACAGCGGGTAGGGCATTTGCCTTGCCCGACCTGGCCGACCCAGGTTCGATTCCTCCGCCCCTCTCGGAGAGCCCGGCAAGCTACTGAGAGGATCTCGCCCGCACGGCAGAGCCTGGCAAGCTCCTCGTGACGTATTCGATATGCCAAACACAGTAACAACAAGTCTCACGATGGAGATGTTACTGGGCCCGCTTGAGAAAATCGATGAACAATGGGAGGACCGTGACTATATATATATATATATATATATATATATATATATATACACACACACACACACACACACACACACACACATATTTATTTGGCTCTTTTGGTCACACAGCGATGCTCAGGGGTTACTCCTGGCTCTGCACTAGGGGATCACTCCTGGTCGTGCTGCAAGACAAAGGCCGTATCCACTGTACTATCGCCCTGGCCCCTATAATATTTTTAATTGGGGGGGGGAATGAAAGGAGCCCCATTCACTGCACCTTGCTACTCCGGGATTGGATGTCTGGCATAAGAAAACACCGCAGGTAGGGCACTTGGCATGCACGACGCAGACCTAGGTTCCATCCAGCCACACACGCCCCCGGCCCTTCACCCCGACCCCGAGCCCGCTAGGAGTGAGCCCTGGAACGGCCCAACATGCACAACAGACAGACAGGGGCTGGAGCGGCAGCACAGCGGGGGAGCGTTTGCCTGGCTCGCAGCCGGCCGGGTTCGGTTCCCAACATCCCACAGGGTCCCCTGAGCACTGCCAGGAATAATTCCTGAGTGCATGAGCCAGGAGGAACCCTTGTGTAACGAAAACAACAACAACAACAACAAAAAAAAAGCAGACAAAATCCTCCTCCACATCACTCCCCGGTTCAGAGCCGGCCTGGCCCCGCCCTCGGTCCTCCCGGGCGCGAAGCCATAGAGATGCGCGGGCAGCGGGGCCGCCGGGAGCGGGCATAGAGGAGCGCAGAGGCTGGCTGGAGCGCCGCTTCCGGCCCGGGAGTCCGGCCGTCCTCCCAAGATGGCGCAGTCGGTGAACATCGCGGAGCTGAGCCTCCCGCAGCTCGAGATGCTCAAGAACCAGCTGGACCAGGTGGGGCCGCGCCGCGGGGCCCCTCCCTCGCCTCCTGCCCCCGCCCGCCCTCGGCCCCGTGGGGGGTCTCGCCGCCCCCCGCAGCCCCCTCCCTCCCCCCAGCGCACCTGGACCTTGTCTCCCCAGGAGGTGGAGTTCCTGTCCACGTCCATCGCGCAGCTCAAGGTCGTGCAGACCAAGTACGTGGAGGCCAAGGACTGCCTGAACGTGCTGACCAAGAGCAACGAGGGTACGCACGGGGGGCGGGGGCGGGCGCTGGGGGCTGCTGCGGACCCCCGGCCGGCCCCGGCCCCCCACGGAGGGGGACACCATCGGGGTTGCTTCGAGCCCCTGCACCTCGTCGGCTCTCGGGGGTCGACGTGCCCGGGACGCTCCCCCGCGCCTGTTGCCTGTTTCTGTCCTTTAGTTTTGTTTGTTTGTTTGTTTTTTGCTTTTTGGGTCCCACCCGGCGACGCACAGGGGTCCCTCCTGGCTCCTGCACTCAGGAATCAGCCCTGGCGGTGCTCGGGGGACCCTATGGGGTGCTGGGGATCGAACCCGCTGTGCTGTCACTCCAGCCCCACATCTTCGTTTTTATTCTTATTTATTTTGTTTATTTTTGGCTTTTTTGGGTCACACCCGGCGATGCTCAGGGGTCCCTCCTGGCTTTGCACTCAGGAATCACCCCTGGCGGTGCTTGGGGGACCCTATGGGATGCTGGGGATCGAACCCGGGTCGACAGCGTGCAAGGCAAACGCCCTACCCGCTGTGCTATTGTTCCAGCCCCTGTCCTTTATTTTTATTTATCTGTTTTTGCTTTTTGGGTCCCACCCGGCGATGCACAGGGGTCCCTCCTGGCTCTGCACTCAGGAATCACCCCTGGCGGTGCTCGGGGGACCCTATGGGGTGCTGGGGATCGCACCCGCTGTGCTGTCACTCCAGCCCCACATCTTCGTTTTTATTCTTATTTATTTTATTTATTTTTGGCTTTTTTGGGTCACACCCGGCGATGCTCAGGGGCTCCTCCTGGCTTTGCACTCAGGAATGACTCCTGGCGGTGCTCGGGGGACCCTATGGGGTGCTGGGGATCGAACCCGGGTCGGCAGCGTGCAAGGCAAACACCCTACCCGCTGTGCTATTGCTCCAGCCCCTGTCCTTTATTTTTATTTATTTATTTTTGCTTTTTGGGTCCCACCCGGCGACGCACAGGGGTTCCTCCTGGCTTTGCACTCAGGAATGACTCCTGGCGGTGCTCGGGGGACCCTATGGGATGCTGGGAATCGAACCCAGGTCGGCCGCGTGCAAGGCAAACGCCCAACCCACTGTGCTATCGCTCCAGTCCCCCCGTTTCTGTTCTTCTCCTACTAGCTCTGACCCCGTGTCTAACCCAGATGTTTGACTTGGTTGCTTCCACAGGGAAAGAATTGCTCGTCCCACTGACGAGTTCTGTATCCTTTCCACGGGAACTGCCCTCGGCCCCCTCTCTTCCCACACCCTCGCGCGCAAAAGGCGGACCCCGAGATTCCGAGAACGTTCCCGCACCCGGAGTAGCCCTTCCGCCTGCCTTTCCGGGGGCCAGCCGAGTCCCCGTGCCTCGTGGAGACCCAGCAGGAGTCGAAATGCGTTGGGATGCTTTCCCTTTCTTTGCTCTTTGGGTTATTCATGGGGGTTTGCACCGAACGGACGGAAGCGATCAAAGGCCAGGAAGCTAAGAAATGAGGGGTTTGGCGTAGTTTTAGTTTTTTTTTGGGGGGGGGCAGGGGGGAGTATGGTTAGGCAATATCCTGCAGTGCTCAGGGTCTGTTCCCGGGTCTGAGCCCAGCAGTGGCCTCTGGGAGTGCTCAGGGGGCCTTATAAGGTACCCAGGATTTTAAACGGGGTCTGTGAGATGAAATGCATGCTCTTCAGTACCCGGTACTATCTCTAGCCCTCTCGAGTTGTTTAGTTGTGACTTGGGTTAGGAGCCAGACCTGGCTGGGCTCAGAGTGTGTTGCTCCTGGCTTTGTGCTCAGGAAGGCACACTGAGGGTCAGCTCCAGGCGAGGCAAGTGCCTTACCTGCTGTATGATCTCCTCGGCCCCTTAACTGTGACTCTTATTCGTGAGCCGTTACTAAGACACTGACTTCGGTGCCTCTGTCTTGCCTCCCAGCTGATGACCTGTTCAGTGTTTTTCTTCTTGAGTGAGAAGGGGGAGGATTGTAACCGGAGAGCTGACAGGCTGAGAGAGAAATGCTGGAGGATCAGTGTGGTTGGGAATGCTTGCTAATAAACGTGACTCCATCAGGAATCGTCCAGTGGTTCCTGGGAGTGTGGTTCGTGTGCCCAGCCCATGTTTGATGCCTGGTACCACGTTTGCCTCCACTGCCGGAGGTAGCTCTGGAGTTGCCCTTGCAGTGCTGGGTTGGCTCTGGTGGTCCACAGAACTGCAGTGTTTGGGCTGCACCAAATCAGGCCCTGGCACAGAACCACTTGCCTGGTTGACTTAGCATGACTGGGAATGGCTCCTGGGTCCCTTGGGAGGCTCTTTCCAAAAAGAAAAGGAGGGGCTGGAGGGATAGCACAGCGGGTAGGGCGTTTGCCTTGCGTGCGGCCAACCTGGGTTCGATTCCCAGCATCCCATAGGGTCCCCCGAGCACTGCCAGAAGAATTCCTGAGTGAAGAGCCAGGAGTAACCCCTGTGCATCGCTGGGTGTGACCCAAAAAGCAAAAAGAAAAAAAAAGAAATAGCTGGTTCACGATTAGGGGCATTGAGAGGACGTGAGACTGATTTTTCACTTCTTCGCAGCAGTAGGAAAGCATCCTTTGGTCTGACCCAGTCTTTCTGGAAGAGTGATCGCAACTGCTTGGAAAATGGCAGATGGGACGGATTACAAAAGAATATTCTAGCAGCATATGTCATTTTCCCCATAAGGAATCCACTTCTGCCTCCCCCTCTGGAGTTGATGCTGTAGTTCTGAGGTTCCCGGATCCTTTTCTCCCTGTGGCCTCTGTGTCTCGTTGCTTCGCCCTCTCTAATCTTGGGCCTTGGTCCCCAGTTTACACAAATTTCACCTGGCAGCCCATAGGGCACCATGTAGCCCCTGATTGAGAAACGCAGCCCAAGAAGATTCACACTGTGTACTTGGGAGCCTTTTAGCCCAGGGGAGCCTAAGAGGCAAAGCCGGCCGTCGGACAGGGACTCCTGGCTCGTGCTGGGCTCGTTCTTCCCTTAATCCTTGCTTCTCAGATGTATGTTCCCGGGAAGCTCCATGATGTAGAACACGTGCTCATCGATGTGGGAACTGGCTACTACGTAGAGAAGGTGAGTTGGGCGGCAACATGGAGGGAGAAGGGAGCTTAGGGGAGGCCTGGGGAGCAGCTTGGGGTCTCCATGTCCCTTGTTTACTCTAAATTCGCAGTCAGCGGAGGATGCCAGGGATTTCTTCAAGAGGAAGATAGACTTCCTCACCAAGCAGATGGAGAAAATCCAGCCAGCTCTCCAGGAGAAGCATGCCATGAAACAGGGTACACGGCCGGAGGCACCTCTTGACCTTTCTGCATCCGTAATAAAGAGCGTGGGGAGGGCTGTGAACCAAGGGATCAAAACCATGGCCTTTGGGGCCAGGGGGCTGGCCCAGAGAGTCAGCACATAGGCAGGCGGGTGCCCCGGGCTTGGCACCTCGATCTAGTACCGCATAGACCTTTGAGCACGGCTGGGTGTGCGTTTTTCCCCAAAACAAAACAAAAAGCCGTCCCTTTCTCTTCGGTGTCTTGATGGTCTAGACTTCCTTGCATCATCTCTCCGTTAGGTAGATGACTGAGTTGGGTGCTTGAGAATTTAGACGAGGGAGGTCATGTCCTTGGGCCAGAGTGATCGATAGTGCAGCGGGGAGGGTCCTTGCTTGCCTTTATGCAGCCGGTTGAGGAGGTTCGATGCCCAGCACCACGTATTATCTGCCAAGCCCCACCAGGAGTGATCCCAAGCGCAGAGCCAGGAGTAAGCCCTGAGCACTGCCAGGTGTCTCCCCCCAGAAGCAGCTATGGTCTTCGGAGCTCCTCTTCAAAGGAAATGGGGGGGGGATACACTTAAATTAGGATAGACAAAAGAAATACGCCCCTGACTAAAAACCCTAACTGCACCCCTCACTGCATGGATTGGATTTACTCAGTATCTAAAGACAGCCTGGGGGGCTGGAGAGGTAGCCCAGCGGGTAGGGCGTTTGCCTTGCATGTGGCCGACCCTGGTTCGATTCCCAGCATCCCATATGGTCCCCTGAGCACCGCCAGGAGTAACCCCTGTGCATCGCTGGGTGTGACCCAAAAAGCAAAAAAATAAAAGACAGCCTGGGGTCCTGGGAGATATCTCAAAGTGCCAGTGTGAGCTGAGCATTGGGGAGGCAAGTGAGGAAGTGCTGCCTTCAGTTCATCTGCACACATTCTCACTGCCCCACACGTGCAAGGCATGCACTCTACCACTGAGCTGCATCCTCATGCCCCTCTTGAAGTGCTGAGGAATCGGACCGAGGGCCTCACGCATGCAAGGCAGATGCTTTACTGCTAAGCTCCATTTCCTGCCCTCTAGGGATGTTTCTTAAAAGTTCCCCAGGTCAGGGCCAGAGCAATAGTCCAGCAGGCAGGGCGTTTGCCTGGCACACGACTGACAGGGGTTCCGTTCTGGCATCCCATATTGTCCCCTAAGTACCGCCAGGAGTAATTCCTGAGTGCAGATCCAGGAGGAACCCCTGAGCATCACCGGGTGTGACCCAGAAAAGCAAAAAAAGTTCCCCAGGCTCCTGAAGGCCAGAGCCTTGCCTGTGGCCTGTCCCGGTGTGATGCCCAGCATCCCATATGCATAGTGGTCTCCCAAGAACGCCAGGGGTAACCCTGAGCATCACCAGGTGTGACCCCCCCCCAGAAAAAATGCTCCCCAGGTTGGGGCTAAAGGGATAGTTTAATGAGCCGGAAGGCACTTGCCTTGTAAGCGGTCAACTGAGGTTCAATCCCAAGCACCTTGTGCTACTCCTGGAGTCCCCCCAGGAGTCATTCCTGAGCACTGCTGGGTGTGACCCAAAATGAAGAGTTCCCCAGTTGACCTGCTCAGTGTTGAGAATCACTGTTTCACACACAAAAAAATGATGTTATAATTAAGGGACGGAGCCAGAGCTCAGAGGGATCGTGCATGTGCCTTGCTGGGAGGAGGGGTCTTGAGTCCTTCCCTAGCGCGGACCCGGGAGTAGCCCCCCGAGCAGTGCTGGGTGTGAAGTACACCTGGGCCACCCCACGGCGCGCCTCTCGGGTTGGGTGGTCAGCCTGGCCCTCGGCCCCGGTGGCCCCGAAGGGGCCTCTCCTTGGGCCTGACTCTTCTGTTGTCTTCCACAGCTGTCATGGAGATGATGAGTCAGAAGATCCAGCAGCTCACGGCCCTGGGAGCCGGCCAGGGTACCGCCAAGGCCTGAGCGTGGGTGCCCGCGGCGGACGGCGGCGGACCGCGGCGGGGGCGGGGCCTCGGCCCTGGGGGCGGGGCCTGGCGGGGCGGGGCTTGTCTTTCCTGCCAATAAACGTGTCGGCCTGGCCCCGGGCTTCCTGTCTTGCCTTCGCCCGCGGCTGCCGGCGCGTGGGGACGGGCGGGCGGGGCCGGGGGACCGGCCAGCGGGCGGAAGTGGCCCGCGCGGGTCGTCCCCTTCCGGCGTGGCCGCGCCGCGCGCTCCCGCATGTGCCGGCGCCTGCCCGGCCTCCTGCCGCCGCGGCTGCTGCTGCTGCTGCCCCGGCCCGTGCGGCCGATCGTGCCCGGCCCGGCGCCCCCGGCGCCCCCGCCCCGCCCGCGGCCGCCCGGCCCGCGGCCCCCCGGCCCCCGCATGGCCCCGCCCCGCATCGGGACCCACCACGGCGTCTTCCACTGCGACGAGGCGCTGGCGTGCGCGCTGCTGCGCCTGCTGCCCGAGTACCGGGTAGGCCCGCGCCCCGGGGCGCGCTCCCCCGCGGCCGCGCGCGCCCCTCCGGCGCCCCTCCAGCGCCCCTCTGTGTCCCCGCAGGAGGCGGAGATCGTGCGGACGCGGGACCCCGAGAAGCTGGCGGCTTGTGACATCGTGGTGGACGTGGGCGGCGAGTACGACCCGCAGAGGCACCGCTACGACCACCACCAGCGGTGAGTGGCGCGATGCCCCTGCCTGGGCTTGGTCCCTCGCTTCGGCCTTCCCGGGGCGCCGACCCTGCGCGCCCCCGCGGGGACCCGAGCGGTCCTCCGCCCTCTCCTCCCCGCCGTCCGCCCCGACCTCCCTGGCCCCCGGTCCGGTCCGTCCGCCCCGACCTCCCTGGCCCCCGGTCCGGTCCGTCCGCCCCGACCTCCCTGGCCCCCGGTCCGGTCCGTCCGCCCCGACCTCCCTGGCCCCCCGGTCCGGTCCGTCCGCCCCGACCTCCCTGGCCCCCGGTCCGGTCCGTCCGCCCCGACCTCCCTGGCCCCCAGTCCGGTCCGTCTGCCCCGACTTCCCTGACCCCCGGTCCGGTCCGTACGCCCCGATCTCCCTGGTCCCGGTCCGTGCGCCCCGATCTCCCTGGCCTCGGTCCGTGCGCCCCGATCTCCCTGGTCCCGGTTCGTGCGCCCCGACCTCCCTGGCCCCCGATCCGGTCCGTCTGCCCCGACTTCCCTGACCCCGGTCCGGTCCGTGCGCCCCGATCTCCCAGGTCCCGGTCTGTGCGCCCCGATCTCCCTGGTCCCGGTCTGTGCGCCCCCATCTCCCTGGCCCCGGTCCGTGCGCCCCGACCTCCCTGGCCCCCGATCCGGTCCGTGCGCCCGGATCTCCCTGGCCCCGGTCCGTGCGCCCCTACCTCCCTGGCCCCCGGTCCGGCCCGTGCGCCCCGACTTCCCTGGCCCGGGTCCGTCCACCCCGACCTCTCTGGCCCCTGGTCCGTGTGCCCCGACCTCCTTGGCCCCCGGTCCAGTCCATGCACCCCGACCTTCCCGGTCCGATCCGGTCCGTGCGCGTGCCCCTCCAGCGCCCCTCCAACTCTCCACTCTTTGCCGGCGTGGCCACCACCCCGGCCTGCTCCCTCTCCCCGCCTCACAGCTGCCCCCGCATGACCTTGCTGGTGGGTGGTGGTCGGCAGGGTATGATCTGGGCTTCCTTAAAACTCTTCTGTGGGAAATCTTTTCCAGGGGTATCCCGTTGCGCACCCCCCCAGACCTTTCCAGTACTTTTCCCTCTCCTCAAACACTCCTCCAGACGCTGTCATCAGTGGGTCACCTGCCTTTCTTTTCCATGGGGATTGCGTTTTTCTGTTCACTGGGCAGTAGTGGCCAGGGCAGCATGTTCCCCGCTTCCCACCCGTCCAGGAAACCCTGTTGCCTGCCCCTCCAGGAAACCCTGTTGCCTGCCCCTCCAGGAAACCCTGTTGCCTGCCCCTTGTTGCGTCTCCTCCAGCCTTTGGATTTCTGCTCTCAGTTCTCCCTCCAGCTGCCAGCTCCGTGTCTCTTTGTGTTCACCCCTGTGTGCTGTTCTCCTGGTTCTCACCTTGCACGTGGGAATGACTTTTAAAAGCCCGCCCATTGTTGATCCGTTTTACTTCGTTTTGTTTGGGGGCCACAGCGTAGGGCGCTTGGGACCTTACCGGGCCCAGGGCTGCCTCGGGTGCAGCTGCGGTCTCAGCCCTCGGCGCCACAGAGCCCGTGAGCCCTGCCAGGAGTGAGCCATGAGGAGCACTGCGAGCTCTGGCCCCAAGACAAAAACAGTAAAAGCCAAAATACAAGGCGAACCCCTTCAGCTGCTCTCCTTTCCCGAGAACTAGATCGTCTCCTTTTCTTCACCCTAGCTGCGAGTTTCTTCCCTGCCCCCTCTCGCTGCTTCTTCCCAGGGGAGGCAACACCCTGCACTTGATTCATCCGCTGATTTGCAGTATAATTAAGCATATGTCTGTTGCCAACAACGTTTCCAGTTTGAGTAATTTTTGTATCAAGTATTTAATAATAAAAATTAAAACGGGTGGGCTGGAGCAATAGCACAGCGGGTTGGGCGTTTGCCTTGCACGCGGCCGACCCAGATTCGATTCTCAGCATCCCATATGGTCCCCCCGAGCACCGCCAGGAGTAACTCCTGAGTGCATGAACCAGGAGTAACTCCTGTGCATCGCCGGTTATGACCCAAAAAGCAAAAAAAAAAAGAAGAAGAAAAATTAAAACGGGTGGCCAGAGCGATAGTACAGCAGGAAGGGCCTTGCACACGGCTGACCCAAGTTCGATCCCCAGCATCCCATGTGGTCCCCAGAGCACCACTGGGAGTGATTCCTGAGTGCAGAACCAGGAGAAACCCCTGAGCATCACTGGGTGTGGGCCCCCTCTACCCCTTTAAAAAAAAAAAAAGAAATTTAAGCGGAATTGTCTAGGTGATTATAGCTGTGGTTTCTAGTTCCATAAGAACTGCCTGCCATATTGTGTGTGTGTGTACGATGTTCTCCCGTTTATTGCCTTAATGATCACGCATACACACACTTGGACTATTGCACAAAACTCTTTTTCCTTTCTTTTCTTTTTTCAAATGTAGGAGCACTGCTATTTGTTCAGCCACTGATTAAGCTGACTGAAGAGGGCATGAAATCCACAGTACTTTTGTTTTTTTAATCACCATGAGACACAGTTACAAAACTTCCATGTTTGAGTTTCGGTCATACAGTGGTCGAACACCCATCCCTCCACCAACGCACATTCCCCACCACCAGTGTCCCCGGTATACTCCCCCGTCCAACCCTCCCCCTGCCTCTGTGGCAGACAGTTTCCCCATACTCTCTCTCTCTCAATTTGAGCGTTATGGGTTGCAATACAGATACTGAGAGGCTATCACGTTTGGTCCTGTATCTACTTTCAGCACACATCTCCCAGCCTGAACGATTCCTCCAACCCGCGTTGACTTAGTGACCCCCTCTCTCTTCTGGCTGCCTTCTCCCCAGCTCATGAGACAGGCTTCCAGCTATGGGGTAATATTCCTGGTCCTTGTGTCTACTGTCCTTGGGTGTGAATCTCGTATTATTTTATATTCCACAAATTATTAGTCATTCTACGGCTGTCCCTCTCTTTCTCATTTCACTTAGCGTGATCCTCTCCATGACCATCCACTTATAAGCAAATTTTATAACCTCGTCTTTCCTAAGAGCTACAAAGTATCCCATCGTGTAGACAGAGGTACCAAAGTTTTTTTAACCGGTCGTCTGAAGAACTGCCATATCTTTTCCCATTTTCTGTCCTGCTGCTGTTCAAATTCCTGCCTTCCTCACTTACTTGGCCCCCTACAGGTAATTTCGTATCTCTTACATTTTTGTTTCGGTTCTGAACTATACCCAGCAGGTGCCGGGGCCACTCCCATCCCGATTCAGGGAATCCTTCAGTGCTGGGCATTGAACCCGGGTCTCTGACATGCAGAGCCATGTGCTCTGGCCTGTCGACCTGTCTCTCTGACTCCGCCAGTGTTCCAACACGCTTTCGCTTGCTTGACATCTGGCTCCTGTTAACTCACAGGAAATGCCCCCGCTCCTGACCCTGTGACCTCCACGATGGCCTGCCGTGGTCTGACTGACCCACTGCATTCTTCCCTCCCTCCCCCCGCATTCACCCAACTCCCTTTTTGCTGTGGTACATAGGGCTCACACACCTGGCTTCAGTACTTGCAGTTCTTTGAAGTTTTGGGGCAGTACCCGGTGATGCTCACTCGAGGGAAGCCTCGAGGGACCACGTGGATCGCTGGGGATCCGGCCTGGGCGGCAGGCGATCTCTGCAGCCGCACTGCTCACTGGGGTCTCCCGTCAGGTTGGGGGTGCTCTCGTTCCCGTGCCTGCACACATGCTCCCTGGGGAGGCGGCTCTTGACTTGAGAGCTGCCAGTTACAGTTGTGTTCACAGAAGCTAGGCTTCCCGGGGCTGCACCCCTTTCTGTGGTGCTCACACACACCTGACTGGTTCCGTCAGCAATTGCTTGTGGAACCGAGTGCTGGGAGCAGGTAAAGGAATATACATGGTAGCCTATCGGTACCTGTCTTGCAGACCGTAATGCCCAGGAGAGAGGGGGTGGGCGAGGAGGAGAGCCCTGGCCTTAAAGGGGGGAGAGAGAGAGAGGGAGGGAGGGAGAGAGGGTGCCGGGCAGAGCCATAGTGCAGTAAGCAGGGCGGACACTTTGCACACAGCCAGCCCCCTGGGTTCTATCCCTGGCACCCTGTAGTGCCCCCCCAAGCCTGCCAGGAGTGACCCCGAGTGTAGAGCCAGGAGTAAGCAAGCCTTGAGCACCCCTGGGTGAGGCCCCTGAACAAAATAAAATCAGCCCCCCCAAAATACAGAACTGCTTGTGGCCGTGGGGGTCACAGCAGCTGAGCCGTCCGGAGCTCGCTCAGGGCACGTTGCCACCCCGGGGACTTGGGCTGGCGATCTCACGCTTGCGAGGCTGCCACTCTAAGTAAGCACTGTTCCTCCAGGCTCACGATGGCTGTTTTCGAAAGACTTATCTGAAGGGGTCAGAGCCCTTACGGCGGGTCGAGTGTTTGCCTTGCCACCCGGTTTTGATCCCCAGCATCCCACGTGGTCCTCCAGGCACCGCCAGGAGCAGTTCCTGAGTACAGAGCCAGGAGTGGGCCCTGAGCACTGCCGTGTTGGCCCGAAAACAAACAAGACTCTTCTGAGTCCCCTCCCGACTGTGTCAGCTAACTGAACCAGCAACTCAGCGTGAGGGCCCGAGGCTGGGGTGCTGCGAGGCGGCTGCAAAGGGTGTGTGTAGTGCCAGGGATTACCCGGGTCACCCCAGTGCTCAAGGCTTCACCAAGCAATGCTTGGGGGAACATGTGATGCCTGAGACCGAACGAGAGGAGTCCACATCAAGGCTCATGCCTCAGCCCCTCTGTAGCTCCCCAAATGTCTTTTTGTTCTTCAGGGTTTTTTTGTTTTGTTTTTGGGCCACACCTAGTGACACTCAGGGCTTACTCCTGGCTCTGTGCTCAGGAACCACTCCTGGTGGTGTTCGGCATCAAACCCAGGTGCGAGGTAAGCACCCTCCCCGTTGTTCTGTAAGTCCCATGAGAAGGAAAGTCTCTTAGTCATCGAACATGTCGTTCCCGCTGCCCGGATTGCCTTTTTTCTGTAACTCCCGCTAAATCTCATTCATTCATTCATTCATTCATTCATTCAAAGGCTCCCTCCCCAGGACCCTCACCGACAGGGTCCTTTTTCCTGTGTCCTTGTTAGAAATTCCCACGGATGTCCTGCATCTGTCTGCCTCGAGCCCGCAAGGCAGAGACGGGCTTCGCTTCTCTGTCCCAAACAGCTGCAGCACAGCCGGCTGTGAAGGAAGGGGGCCTCCACGCTGCAGTGTCCTGAGCAGAAGCCGGTGGCTGCAGCGGGCCCAGCTCCCCTGGGTTCTGCGGGCTCCCTGGGGCCGCTGCTTGCCTCAGCCCCACCCCCTGTGCCCCCCAGGTCTTTCACAGGGACCATGAGCTCCCTGGCCCCCGGGAAGCCGTGGCAGACCAAGCTGAGCAGCGCGGGACTCGTCTACCTGCACTTCGGCCACAAGCTGCTGGCCCAGCTGCTGGGGACCAGCGAAGAGGACAGCGTGGTGGGCACCCTCTATGACAAGGTGGGGGCCCGAGGACAGACCCCCACGCCTGCGTCTGCCGCACTCGGGACGTGTCTCAGGGCAGGGCACCTGGCCCCGCGCTCCCGTCAGGCTTCTGGGGCGGTCGATAAGTGGGTGAGACAACGTGGGGAAGGGCCTCGGCAGCCAGAAAGCATTTCCCAGTGACCAGGGGACCGCAGAAAGCACCAGGGAGCGAGTCTGGGTCGGCTGTGTGCGAGGCGAGCGCCCGAGCCACTGTACTATCTCTCTGGGTCACAGGCGGCGCCTTGGTTTGGAGGCAGGTAGCTCAGAAGCTCTGGCTGCAGAGAGAACACAGCAGGTAGGGGTCCTGCCTGGTACACCGACAACTGGGACTCCACCCCTGGTGCGCCCTAAGGCCCCACAAGCACTGCCAGGAGCGACCCCTGAGCGCAGAGCCAGGAATAACCCCCGAGCACTGCCAGGTGTGGACTGAACCACCCCACAAACGTTCAGGCTGCTGAGGGAAGAAGCACCACGGTCAAGTGTGCACAACCCTAGGGGCGGAACAAGACCTGTCGGTGCCATAGCTCGGGTCCCTGCTTCAGCAGCAGGAACTGGGCACACAGGGTGATTCTGGGACGCCGGCGGCGTTGGAGGTGGTCTTCCCATCATATTCCAGAGTCGGCCAGCACATTTGGTCAGCTCTGAATCCGCGCGTGATGACTGTCGGACTCGGAAGATCCCCTTCTGCTGGGGGGAGGCTCAGTGATGCTCAGGGTTCCTCCCTGCTCTGCCTGCGGGGCTCCGGGGACCAGCCCCAGTCGGCTGTGTGCGAGGCAAACGCCCCGCCCTGTCGCTGCAGCCCAGAGCTCTGCCCCTTCCGAGACAGCATTGGGGTGACCCCCAGGAGCGAGCAAGTAGGAGTCAGATGGAGCTTTCGGAAGCTGCGGTTTCCGACGGCCTGACTTGGTTCCTGCCCTGCCGCCGCAGATGTACGAGAACTTCGTGGAGGAGGTGGATGCCGTGGACAACGGCATCGCCCAGTGGGATGGGGAGCCGCGCTACGCGCTCACCACCACGCTGAGCGCCCGGGTGGCTCGCCTCAACCCTGCCTGGAACCAGCCCGACCAAGACACGGAGGTCAGGGGGGCGCTCCCGGGGGGCCGCAGGTCTCAGACCCTCGGGGCGGGGAGAGTGACCACGCCCTCCCCGGCGCAGCCTCACCCGGCTCTAAGTGCTCACCAGCCCCTCGGTTTGGATTCCCGTGCCCCCCAGGCTGGGTTCCAGCGCGCAATGGAGCTGGTTCGGGAAGAGTTCCTGCAGAGACTGGACTTCTACCAGCACAGCTGGCTGCCGGCCCGGGCCCTGGTGGAAGACGCGCTGGCCAAGAGGTTCCAGGTACCGCCTGGGAGGAGGCTCTGCAGCCCCCGAGCTTCTCCCTTGATTTTTGCTTTTCCGGCAATGCTCAGCGCTTCCTCCTGGCTCTGCACTCGGGAATCACTCCTGGCAGTGCTCGGAGGACCTACGGGATGCTGGACTGCCCTACCCGCTGTGCCATCGCTCCAGCCCCTCCCTGAACCTCTGGCCTCCACTCCCCTTTCAGGTGGACCAGAGTGGAGAGGTAGCGGAGCTGGCCAAGGGCGGGTGCCCCTGGAAGGAGCACCTGTTCTGCCTGGAATCCGAGCTGCGCCCCCCCGCGGCCATCGCCTTTGTTATCTACACGGACCAGGCCGGACAGTGGCGGGTGCAGTGCGTGCCCAAGGAGCCCCGTTCGTTCCAAAGCCGGTGAGGCCTGGGAGACCCCCCGCCCTGCGGCCCTCATCAGGGGGCCCCTCCCCGAGCCCCCAGGCCTCAGCTGCTCCCCGACCGACTCTGCTCACTTGCAGGCTGCCCCTGCCAGAGCCCTGGCGGGGCCTGCGAGACGAGGCCCTGGACCGGGCCAGTGGGATTCCTGGCTGCATCTTTGTCCATGCCAGCGGCTTCATTGGGGGCCACCGCACCCGAGAGGGTGCTCTGGCCATGGCCCGCGCCACCCTGGCTCAGCGCCCAGCACCCACGCCGCCTACAGATCCCCAGGATAAATAAAGTTCCTTCCATCTCAGGCCGACCGCGTCCTGCGCAGGGGCAGGGTGGGCCATCGCTTTGGCGCCCTGAAGGGGAAAAGCCTGGCAGCGGGATGAAGAGTCCGAGGCTCTGTTTATTAGAAGTGGGGCTGAAAGGAGTGGCCCTGAGGACCTGGGAGAGGGTCCCCGGGGGCAGAAGATGGGGACGACTCCGTGAAGAGGCGGAGATCGTGGACGGGGCCACCACCCCCCGCGGGGGGCTCTTGGGCCCGGCCAAGCACTGGGTTGAAACGTGGGAACTGAGCGTTGACGAAGTAGAGCGGGATGTGGGTGATCCGGCCTGTCGACCAGCACTGCAGAGAGACATGAGGGAGACCGTCGGGGCCGGGTCCGGAGGCGGAGTCCGGGGAGGCGACCGCGGCAGCCGGGCTTACCACGCTGAGCAGGGCCCCTTTGCCGAAGGAGGGGTGGAAGCTGATGAGCTGCGCCTGGGCTCCCGGCTCCCCCTGGACAACGCCGCTGGAAGAGAGGGGGCCGGTACGGGGGGGGGCTCGGGGGGTGGGGGCAGGTTTGGTGCGGGAAGGCTGGGCTGGCCGGCACTTACCAAGGCAGCAGCTCGAACACGGGGCTGTTCCGAGTGCGGAAGAGGAGGATGACTGGGGCCCCCTCCTGCACCCGCGGGTTCCCTGGAAGAAGGGGCCCAAGGGGGCTGGGGGTGTGGCTCCACCGGCAAGCGCACGTGCTGGAGACCCAGGGCTGACCCCCAGCACCACCACGAAGAGAACGGGGGAGCCAAGGGCTGGAGCCATAGCACAGCAGGGAGGGCGTTTGCCTCGCACATGGCCGACCCGGGGTCGATTCCCAGCATCCCATAGGGTCCCCCGAGCACCGCCAGGGGTCATTCCTGAGTGCATGAGCCAGGAGGAACCCCTGTGCATCGCCGGGTGTGACTCAAAAAGAAAAAAAAAAATCTTTTTAAGGGAGCAGGAGCCATAGCACAGAAGGTAGGACCGACCCGGGGTCGATTCCCAGCATCCCATAGGGTCCCCCGAGCACCGCCAGGGGTAATTTCTGAGCACAAAGCCAGGAGGAACCCCTGTGCATCGCTGGGTATGGCCCAAAAAGAAAAGGGGGGGCAGAGAATATAGCGGGTGGCCGCCTCTTACCTTTCATGAGCACAGCCAGACGCTCCCCGCTCGGGTCCCAGACCATGGAGTGAGCCTGTCCCCCGAGCCTGCGGCCAGAGAGCGTGCTGGAAGGGGGGCTCCCCACAGCCGCCTGCTGGCCCCTCCCGTGCCCACTCGCCTCGCCTCACCTCTCCTCTCCAGACGGCGTCTGGATGGTCGTCTCGGACAGATCGGCCACGATCGTCGCCGACTTGGCACCTCCAACGTGCCCCTTCCCCTCCCCTGTGGACGGGCAGGAGCTCTCACGGGGCGGCTCTCCCCCAACGGCACTGCAGGGTGCGGGGATCTCGCCCCCCCCCCAACCAGCCCAGCCACCCCGCACCGAGGGGCTCCCCCACTCACCGTGTTCTGGGAACGACAAGGAGTAGATCAGGGGCTCCCCCAAGACCGTGAACAGCAGCCGATTTCCATCTGGGCTCCAGCAGCCAGTCTGGGGTCAGGAGGCCAAAGGCAACGCTGGGGAGGGAAGGCGGGAGGGGAGGGGGGAGGGACCCGGGGCCCCCGCCACGCGACTCAGTTCTCTCACCTGACAGCGTCCCGAGAGAGTGGGCCACCGCTCACACGTCCACATCTGGGCCTCCCAGACGCTGCCGAGAGGGGAGGCACACGGCTCAGGGCCTCGGCTCCTCTGTGGGTACCGGGCCGGGGGTCCGACCACCGGGGAGTCTGGGAGCCTCTCCAGGGCCCTCCCGCCCTCTTCTACTCACCGGAAGACTGCGGAAGGCGTGGTGGCCAGGACTTTGCTGCCATCTGGGGACCAGAGCAGGTTGGTGACCCCACCTCCCCGAAACCAGGGAAGGGGGACACAGGTCTCTGTCGATACATCCCAGACCTAGGAAGACGAGCAAGAGAGACGGGGACTGACACACCCCAGCGGCCTCCCAGGGGGAAGGAAAGGAGCGGTCAGGCAGACGGAAGCGCCCCAGTGGCGGCCGGCAGCATGTCCAGTCCCAGATGCTGCCGGGGGGGGCCTCTCGTCCCGGACACTTCCCACCGGCGGACAAAGACAGCTCTTTGGGGTGCCGGAAATGAACGAACCAGGGTCAAGGCCACTCACCAGGATAGCAGCGTCCACAGGCGAAGCGGACAGCAGCCGCCCCCCACTGGGGGCCCAGGCTAGGCTGGTGACGGGTGCGTGCCCCAGGTGAGAGAGCACCTGGGCACAGCCAGAAGAGGGCCTGGGGGGAGACAGGAGTCAGGAGGTGAGAGCCCCAGAGAGCACGGGGGGGGGGGGGGGGGGGGGGGGGAGGCGCTGGCCTTAAGTTTGCCAGCCCTGGGACAAATTCCCAGCACTGCCTACGGTCCCTCAAGCACAGCCAGGAGCCACTCCCGGGCACAAAGCCAGGACGTGTGCTCCCTCCCCACTCAAGGAAAAAAAAAAATTTTGATTTGATTTCTTACCCCCTACTAAAATTTCTAGATTCATAATGGCCCCTCCGAGTTCAAGTGGTGGGAAATGAATTAGGAGCGTGGAAGTTAAGAAAGGAAGAAAGGTGGGGCCAGAGCGATAGCACAGCGGGTAGGGCGTCTGCCTTGCAGGCGGCCGACCCAGGTTCGATTCCCAGCATCCCATATGGTCCCCCGAGCACCGCCAGGAGTAACTCCTGAGTACAGAGCCAGGAGTAACCCCTGTGCATTGCCAGGTGTGACCCAAAAAGCAATAAATAAATTAATTAAAAAAAATTTTTAAATAATGAAAAGTCCCCTTTATTTGGGTTTTTTTTTTTTCTTTTGGGCCACACCAGGCGATGCACAGGGGTTCCTCCTGGCTCTGCACTCAGGAATTCCTCCTGGCGGGCTCGCGGGACCAGATGGGATGCTGGGAATCAAACCTGGGTCGGCCGCATGCAAGGCAAACACCCTACCCGCTTCAGCCCCCACAAACCTCCTTTAAAAACGATTATTTTGAAAGGAGCCTCCTTGCTCCTGCATTGTTTGCTGTTTGTCACAGAGATGCTACTTGGGTGCAGGGGAGAAGGCTCAAAGGACTTGAGCATCACTTGGAATCCTGCCCTCCAGTCATGCATGCCGCCCCGACCCCCAGCACTGGCCCCCCAGCAGTTTTGGGTCACAAGTCAAACACCTGTTCTGACGGAATCAACCCCTCCCCTTGCCCTCTGACCAGTAACCACTGAGGTCTTGGTTACCAATTTACAACGGACCCTATTCTACAGCGAAGCCCACCTTCTCAGGTCAGTCCTGAGAGATCCAACTCGTTCTACTCAACGGCTCCATACTCTCACACTGGCTAGATGAACTGTGATTTATTCTGTCACTTACACAAACACACTTTTATTTTTTTTTTTTGGGGGGGGGGCATACCCGCCAGTGCTCTGGGCTGACTCTTGGCTCTACACTCCTAGCTATGGATCAAACCTGATTCGGCCACGTGCAGGGCAAGCCCTATCAGCTGCACCGTCTTCCAGGTTCCCACTGCTTATTAATTTTTGATTACTATAAAAACAAAGCTTCCCCCAAAAAGCACTCATACCAGGCAGACGCATGAGTATAAAAAACCAAAGCAACAACAATAAAAATACACATAGAAACAATGAAGAAACATAACGACAACAACGAAATTCCAAAATAAATTACTTTTAAGTAGGTAAAGGGATATACCGGATAACCTTCAATATCTATATTGCAAACACAATGCCCAAAAAGAGGAGGGAGCGGGGGAGAGGGAGGGAGGGAGAGAGGGAGAGAGAGGGAGGAGAAAGAGAGGGGAAGAAAGAGAAGAAAAGTGCCTGCCATAGAGGCAGGTTGAAGGGGCTGGAGCGATAGCACAGCAGGAAGGGCGTTTGCCTTGCACGCGGCCGACCCGGGTTCGATTCCCAGCATCCCATATGGCCCCCCCAAACAACACCAAGCGTCATTCCTGAATGCAGAGCCAGGAGGAACCCCTGTGCATCGCCAGGTGTGACCCAAAAAGCAAAAATAAAAGAATATCGGGGCCGGAGATAATGGTACAGTGGGTAGAGCATCTGCCTTGTGCACAGCCAACCCGGGTTCGATCCCCGGCATCCCATATGGTCCCCTGAGCACCGCCAGGAGTGATCCCTGAGTGCAGAGCCAGGAGGAACCCCTGTGCACTGCGGGGTGTCGCCCAGAAACAAACAGAGTATTTACTTGGGGACTACTTGGTCACTCCACAGCTCACAGTGCTCGGGAATTCCTCCTTGCTATGTGATCAGGGATCACTTCTAACAATGCTTGGAGCACTGCATCTAGAGCGTGCCAGGAATCGAATGAAGGTCGGCTGCGTGCAGGACAAGCACCTCAGCCCCCCCGTTATCTTACCAGCCCCAAGAGGAGCCCCAAGTTCTATTCCTGACCTTGCCCAGTCTCCTATGCCAGCTACCAGGAAGTAGCCCAGAGCACCAAGGAAGGAGCAGCACCAGGTGGGAACATCCCTTCCCACATTATAATAATGGGAAGATTTGATTTTGTAGCGAAGTATATTACAAAAGTGACTGTAGAAGAAATTTTCCGCCCATCCCCTTGGTGTTTCAGTAACCCGCACGTGGTTGAGGGACTTGCCAGAGATTACACATTTGGTCTTGGTGCTCACATACTCATCCACAGTGCTCTCTGGTAGTTGCATACTCTGTTTTCTTTTTTGTGGGGTTCCCACACCTGGCAGTGCTCAGGGCTTACTCCTGGCTCTGTGCTCAAGATAGTTCCTGGCAGGGCTCAGGGGACCAGATGGGGTGCTGGGGTTAAGCCCAGGTCAGCGGCACACACGGACAGCTTCCCATCCCACTGCATTGTGGCTGGCCAACCTCCCCCTTTTATGACTTTACTGTTTCATTTTGGCTGTGGTATTTGCACATATGCTTGCCTGGGGCAGGGCTCTTTTTTTTTTTTTTTTTTTTTGCTTTTTGGGTCACACCCGGCAATGCACAGGGGTTACTCCTGGCGGTGCTCAGGGGACCATATAGGATGCTGGGAATCGAACCCGGGTCGGCCACGTGCAAGGCAAACATCCTCCCCGTTGTGCTATTGCTCCAGCCCCAGCCGGCCCCGATATTCTTAATTTAAAGCAAACCAACCAACCTTGGGGCCGGAGTGATTGGACAGGGGGTAGGGACTTTGCCTTGCATGTAGTCAATCCAGGTTCATCCCACATGGCCCCCCGAGCACTGGCGGGAATAATCCCTGAGTGCAGAGCCAGGAGTAAGCCCTGAGCACTGCTGGGTGTGGCCAAAAACCAAAACCACCACCACAACCACCCCGTCAAGGGTCCCACGCGCAAAGGCCGCCTCTAGCCCTTTCTGCATCTCCGCAGCCCCTCAAACATTCCTTTAGACTTTCAAATGCATCGATGGAAACTTAGTGATTTCATTTTCTTTCAGATCTGTGGTTATTTTCCTTTCCCGTTCTGAAAACGTGTGCACTGAACTTCTCATTTATTCTCTGACTGACCGGAAAGTTCTCATTCGTAACTTGAACAAACAAGCAGGCTCTGGGTTTTTGTTTTGGGGTCCCACCGGTGGTGTCAGGGAGCTACTCCTGGCGGTGCCGGGACCACACCGGCCTGTCCTGTGCGCCAGCCCCTGGGCTGCCTCTCCAGGCCTGGTTTCTGGGTTGGTAGTTAGTTCTCCTCCCGACAGTGCTCAGTCTTTCCGCTCCACGATGCAGGGAGACACCCCCAGACACTGCCCGCCCGTCCGGGCGTTCCATGCCCCCCCACACGGCCCGAGCCGGTCACCACCCAGCCACCCGCACAGCGGCTGGGACTCACCGGGTAGACAGCGAGGTCGGGTCGAGGGTCCAGATGAGAACGCAGCTCTGGCAGGCCACGGCCAGCACCGAGGCGCTGAGGGGCTTCCAGGCCAGGGCAGCCACGTGGCGCTGCAGCCGGTGCTTCAGGAAAGGGACGATCGTGCTGGGGGGGAGGCCGCAGTCACGGCAGGTCTCACGGGGGCAGGGCCCCAGCCCACAGCAGAGCCCGGGGCGAAGGTCACACGGGGGGAGGGGAGGGGCCCACGCGCCCGGCCCCGTACCTGTTGGCGTTATACACGCGGACCGAGTCGTCCAGCAGGGCCACCGCGAACTTGTTGGTATGCGGGTGCCAGGCGAAGGCCCGCAGGGAGCAGCTGGTCCTGGAGGAGAGAGAGAGCGGGTGCCCCGCTGAGCTCCCCACGCCCGGCCCGGAAGCCCAGACGCCGCTTCGCATGACGGCACGTTGCTCCGGGCTCTGTGCTCGGGAGACCCTCTGGTGTGCCAGGCACTGGGCCCAGGTCAGCAGCGTGCGACGCAGGAGCCACAGCCCCGTGCCGGCTCTCTGGCCCCAAAGGGGCCTTTTCCGTTTGGTCTGTGTGGGGCTGGAGAGGGCAGCACCCGGCAGCGCGCGGGCTGACTCACTGCCTTCTGCTCGTTCCTGCCCTTCGACTGGGAGGCAGGGGCCGGAGAGAACAGCGGGGGAGATGCAGTTAACCCCGGTTCCATCCCCAGCACCACCGATGGTCCCCTGAGCCCCGCCAAGAGTGACTGGAGCCCAGAAGAAGTCCGGAACACTGCAGGGTGTGCTCAGCACCCCCCAAAAGGCAGCTGCGTGGCTGCCAAGAGAATCCAGTGGGGAGGGCGCTGGTCTGGCACATGGCTGACCGGGTTTGATCCCTGAGCACCACCAGGAGTGACTCCGGGGCACAGGCCCAGGAGTAAGCACTGAGAACCAAAAGGAAAAAGCTCCGTATTGGGGCTGGAGGGACAGCACAGCGGGGAGGGCGTTTGCCTCGCACGCAGCCGACCCAGGTTCGATCCCCAGCATCCCATAGGGTCCCCCGAGCACCGCCAGGAGTCATTCCTGAGTGCATGAGCCAGGAGGAACCTCTGTGCATAGCTGGGTGTGACCCAAAAAAGAAAAAAAAAAAAAAAGCTCCGTATTGGGAGGTAGGCCCGGGTGCGGGGAGCCGTCAGGAAGAGGGGTGGGAGTCGCCTCTGCTTTGCCGTCCCTCTCTCCAAAAGAAGTCCTGAAGTCCAGGTCTTCCATAAAAAGCCAAGATGTGGGGGCTGGAGCAATAGCACAGCGGGTAGGGCGTTTGCCTTGCACACGGGCGACCCGGGTTCGATTCTCGGCATCCCACATGGTCCCCCGAGCACCGCCAGGGGTAATTCCTGAGTGCATGAGCCAGGAGTAGCCCCTGTGCTTTGCCGGGTGTGACCCAAAAACAAAACAAAACCAAACAAAAAAATCCAAGATGTGGGCCACAGATATGGGACGGCGGGTGGGGTCCTCGCCTCCTGCCAACCTGGGTCCCCCAACACCTCCTAGGGTCCCCCAAACCTGCCGGGGGTGATCTCTGAGCCACGAGGAAGTCCTGCACACCAGCGGGAGTGGCCCAAAGAGAGAAACCAAACCACTCACCAGTTTGTGACCTGGGCAAACTCGGCGATGAGGTCCTCGCTCCTGAGCTGCAAGAAGCACACGGACACGCCGCACTGGGCCGAAGGCGCTTCCACGCAGCCTCCCCTCGGCCAGCCTCCCCGCCCTGGCCTCAGGCCAGCTGTGAGGGCGCCCAGCAGCTGGGCGAGTCCAGACTTACAGAGAGGTGGGGGAACAGGGACCCATGGAGGGAGGAGGCCCAGCGCCAGAGCGCCAGGGCCCAGCACGACGCCGTCTTCACCCACTCAAACACTGCGGTAAAGGAAGCGACACTGCTGAAGCCACTCTGGGACCCTCCCCGGGGACCCTCTGGGTGGGGGGAGCCCAGACGAGCACGGCGCCCGGTGACCGCCCCCCTGGGGCATGAGGGGACGGAGACGGAAGGGGCCCCATTTAGACAACTGGACCGTAAACAGGGCAGGGGCAGGGGCCTGGGGAGGACGGGAGAGCGCGGGAGGGAAAGATACGTACCCTCCGCCTCCGAGTTTGCGAGTTCATTCAGGACCCCAAAGACGCCCAGCTCACACCTGACGAGGGGGGGGAAGCTGCGTCACGTGACTCTGATCCCCTCGGAGAGGGGCCCGCACGCGTGAGGAGAGCCGAGCACCGGCCCTGCGTGTCCACGGTCACGCTCTGTGTCACCTGTGAGGCCACAAGGCCTGGAGGTCTTCCGGGGACTTACAAACCAACCAAGGAGTCAACATCCTCTGGTTTGGTTTTTGGGCTGCACTTGGCTCTGCACTATGAGATGACTTCTGATGGGGCTCAGGGGACCCATGTAATGTCAGGGATCAAGCCCGGACGGGCCGCTTAGAGGGACAGCACTCTGCCCGGCCCCAGAAGTCAACATTTGCCCTAACACAATGACTAGAAAGCCCCAGAAGCATTTTTCGACTTTGGGGGCCATACTTGTGGTGCTCAGGGGACCACACCTGGGCTCTGGCGTGCAAAGGATGCACACTAGTCAAGCAGGGGCTGGGTCATACCCAGTGGTGCTCAGGAGGTATTCCTGGCTCAGTGCTCAGGGCTGATTTTGGCAGAGCACTCCCGAGTGCTGGGGCTTGTGGGACGCAAGGCAAGTGCTTCGGGACTGAGCCCTTTGGCTACTTCCCCCGCCCCCCGGTAGGATTGGAAAGCAGAGCTGCACGGAGGCCACACTGGTGTCTAGAAAGGCGAGTCTGGCGATAGACTGGGAGGGATCAAGAAGGGAGAGAGGGGCTGGAGCGAGAGTCCAGCCAGTGGGGGTCAACCCGGCATCCCAGATGGTGCCCCAAGCACCCCCAGGAATGATTCCTGAGCACTGCTGGCGTGGCCCCAAAAAGAAACTTGACAGAGGAAGTAAATGAACAGGAAAACTGGGCCTTCCTTAGGGAAAGAGTGAGAGCGAGTAAGTGATCCAGGAAGCAATTACAACAGCAACTACTGCTTCCACTGCATCCAGGCGAGGCAACGTGTCCGATTAAGCCACCGTCACAACTCAACAGACAGACGTCGCTATCATGTGAGTTTCCACACGAAAGAACAGAGGTGCAGGGAAGCTAATGAAGGAAATGATGCAGGTGACCTCGCTGGGACGGGGCCTTCGGGATTCGCCCCGCAGCTGCCCCGGGCACGCGCTGCCCCTGAAGAAGCAGGAAGGCCGTTCCTGAAGGCGGAAAACGGAAGGCAGAAACGGGCTGGGAGAGAACCAAAGAGGCAAGTTCTGAATGTGCTGAGTGTCTAATGGCCGGGGATTAGCTCCCGAGGGGGGTCTGGCGGACAACTGGCCACCCAGCACGGAGCTCCAGGACATCGACGATTAGGGGCAAGAGCTAGGAAAAAGCAGCAGGAAGTGAGACAGAATCACAACGGAGTGGTTCTTTCTTTCAGACAATGAATTGAGTTCAAACTCTGCTTACATAAAAAGGCGAGAAAATCAAGCGAGCCCCATCCCAGATACCCAAGTTTGAGAGTACGTGTGCTGGAAACCAGGTGCTCTGCACTTCCGTATGCTGCCGGTGGGCCCAAATGTGTGCAAGTTCAAGAGAGGGCTGTTGGGGGCTGGAGACAGCACAGCAGGGAGGGCGTTTGCCTTGCACGCAGCCGACCCAGGTTCGATTCCCAGCATCCCCTATGGTGCCCCAAGCACGGCCAGAAGTAATTCCTGAGTGCATGAGCCAGGAGTAACCCCTGTGCACTGCCAGGTGTGACCCAAAAAGAAAAAAAAAGAGGGCTACTGACCACTGTTAACAAGATGACACGCACCTGACTTACTCCGAGACTTGACATCCGTGGGTACTCATTCTACACAGTAATAAGTTGCAGTACTATAGTGGCAGAGCAGTTGCCTCGTACATTGCTGCAGTAGACCTGGGTTCGATCCCCAGTATCCCATATACACCCTTGAGCCCGGCCAGAAGTAACCCCTGACTGAGTGCCGAGCCAGGAGTTAAGTCCTGAGCACGGCTGGGACGGACCCCAAAACACAAACAAAACGATAATGGAGCTAAGCCTTGGGATTAATGCTGTTCACTGAGTATTTTACCCTTAACAATAAGCTCGATGTCACAACCTTGTAAGGGGGGCTCCCTTGAAGAGATGTAGAAACTGCGGAAACCAAGTGCCTAAGTGACCCGCCCAAGGTCACAAGGCTAAAAAGTGGCACTGCCAGGAGCTAACTGCAAAGTGCAGGACCTGGCAGGTCCTGACTAAACTGGGTACCCAACCTTGCTGAGCTTCAAGTGAGAGCTCAGAAAAGTGGTAATGATGTCAAGTGGGAGGACGGAGAAGGTTCAGAGTCCACTCAGAAAGCCGGATGGCTCCACTGGATACCAAATAACACGACTGCATTATACCCTTGAGTTCCACAACGCTGTCTGGTGACTCAGTCTGATGAATGGCACATCTCTGAGCTGGACTTAGGGGCGATGGCCTCCCTTCCCCAGGCTCTGCAGGCACTGCCAAGCCTCACCAAATGTTGATGCATCTTTTCCACACTTGTTCCCGGTGATGGATGAAAGCGGTTCTTGTGCCATGGTCCAGCCTCCCGGGGGTCTTCAGGGGATCCTTGGTCAGGTTTAGGACGGGCAAATTGATCCACTAGAGCCCAGAAGGGAGAGACGTGATCATGAGTCCACCTCTTCCACAGCCTCAGCCCAACTCCCTGGATCCATCTGCAACTCGGGGCTGAACTAAGGCTTCAAAGATCTGTCTTCCCATTCCCACAAGGAACAGGCGGCCGTGGGAACCAGGCTTGTGTTCTTATCTAAGAACCAGAGTATTGTGTGTAGGGAGCAAACACAAAGGCACAATTCTCCGTTTCTTTTTTCTTTGCCGTGGGGCTGGAGCGATAGCACAGGGGGAAGGCGTTTAATGCCTTACAAGTGGCCAATGCGGGTTCGATTCCCAGCATCCCATATGGTCCCCTGAGCACCGCCAGGTGTAATTCCTGAGTGCAGAGCCAGGAGGAACCCCTGAGCATCATAGGGTATGACCCAAAAAGAAAAAAGAAAACTTTAAAAATAAAGTACTGGGGCTGGAGCTACAGTACAGTGGGTACAGTGGGTAGGGCATTTGCCTTGCCCGCGGCTGAACCGGGTTCGATTCCCAGCATCCCATATAGTCCCCTGAGCACCGCCAGGCGTAATTCCTGGGTGCAGAGCCAGGAGGAACCCCTGTGCATCCCCGGGTGTGACCCAAGAAGCAAAAAAATAATAACATTAAATTTAAAGAAAATAAGGTTCCAGGTCGTGCCTTGCCAGTAACTCCCGGATACTGCCCTCAACTCTTCACCCCTTCTCTTCCAGATTTCACCCTGATTCTCTGCACTCCCTCGAGAGACCCGCCCCGCCCCCCAACGTCTCAGCATCCTTCATCCGCCCACCCCAGCCCTTTTACTCTTCTCCAGCTGCGCCGGGCTGACGGCACCCCCGGAGCCAGCCCCCATCCTGCAGCCCCCACCCTGCGGCCTTGCCCCGTGCAGGTGCCCCCCCCCCAGCCTTGCCCCGTGCAGGCGCCCCCAGCCTCTGTGCAGGTGTTCCCCGCCCTGTATAGGTGCCCCCCGCCCCCATGCAGGAGCCCCCCCGGCCCCTCCCCCGTGCAGGCGCCCCCAGCCCCCGTGCAGGCGCCCCCCGCCCCCATGCAGGAGCCCCCCGGCCCCTTCCCTGTGCAGGCGCCCCCAGCCCCGTATAGGTGCCCCCCGACCCGTGCAGGTGTCCCCCCCGGCCCAGCCCCGTGCAGGTACCCCCCGACCCATGAAGGCGCCCCCCGGTCCCTCCCCCGTGCAGGTGTCCCCCGCCCTGTATAGGTGCCCCCCCGCCCCGTGCAGGTGCCCCCCCGGCCCCTCCCCCGTGCAGGTGTCCCCCGCCCTGTATAGGTGCCCACCGCCCCGTGCAGGCGCCCCCAGACCTGTACAGGTGCCCCCCGACCCGTGCAGGTGCCCCCCCCGGCCCCATGAAGGCGCCCCCCGGCCCCTCCCCCGTGCAGGCGCCCCCCGCCCGTACAGGTGCCCCCCCCGCCCCTCCCCCGTGCAGGTGCCCCCCCCAAGCCTTGCCCCGTGCAGGCGCCCCCAGACCTGTACAGGTGCCCCCCGACCCGTGCAGGTGCCCCCCCCAGCCTTGCCCCGTGCAGGCGCCCCCCGCCCCGTATAGGTGCCCCCCGCCCCCATGCAGGTGCCCCCCCAAGCCTTGCCCCGTGCAGGCGCCCCCAGACCTGTACAGGTGCCCCCCGACCCGTGCAGGTGCCCCCCCCGGCCCCATGCAGGCGCCCCCGGCCCCTCCCCCGTGCAGGTGCCCCCCGCCCCGCCCCCCGCGCCGACCACCTGGCCCCGGAAGTCGGGGGGCGGGCTCTCGTAGCTGCTGCCCGACACCAGCTCGTTGTTGTGCTCGTACAGCGTGACCTGGCCCCGGGGCGGCGGCGGCGGGAAGAGGCCCAGGGAGCACATGGTCCCGGGTGGGTCCGGGGCGTCCCGCGCGCCCCCGCCTCCCGCTTCCCGGGCTGGATTCGGACGCGCGTACGGCGGCCGCGTGGGACAAACCGCCCGGCGGAAGCGGAGGCGCACGCGCGCGCGCGAGGACCCGCCCGCGGACTTCCGGCGCCGCCGCGCGCGCCCCCTGGCGGCGGGAGGGCGCGGCGCGGCGCGGCGCGGGCGTGACGTCAGAGGGCCGAGCGGGGTCGCAGGGAGGGTTTCCCGGGGCGGCTGCTTTGCCCGCTCCGGGGTCTCCAGCCGCCCCCCGCTGCCCGTCTCTGCGATCGGGGAGCCCCTGGTAAAGCCCCGCTCAGGGAAGCGCCTCGTTAAGCCCCCCCGGAGTTCCCGCATCGCCCCGTGGAAAATACAGATTCCAGCATCCCGTAGGGTCCCCCGAGCACCGCCAGGAGCAATTCCTGAGTGCAAGAGCCAGGAGGAACCCCTGTCCATAGCCGGGTGTGACCCAAAAACAAACAAAAAAATATAAGCCGAGGTCAGCTGTGTGCAAGGCAAGTGCCTAACCCCTTAACCCCTGTTCAGCCCTGGGTTTTTTTTGGGGGGGCATACCCTGCTCAGGTTCTATCTACACTCAGAAATTACTCCTGGTAGTGCTCAGGGAACCATATGGGATACCAGATTGGACCCGGGTCGGCAGTGCCATACCATGGCCCATGTTTTAGTCTTTTTAGGGCACACTTAGCACCAGCTCAGTTCTCTTGGAGGAGGGGGGAGGAGGGGGTCTTCTACACAGTTCTTGGAGGATCCTGTAGGAAGGATTTCTTTTTTCTTCTCTTTTCTTTTCTTTTTTTTTTTTTTTTTTTGCTTTTTGGGTCACACCCGGCGATGCACAGGGGTTACTCCTGGCTCATGCACTCAGGAATTACCCCTGGCGGTGCCTGGGGGACCCTATGGGATGCTGAGAATCGAACCCCGGTCGGCTGCGTGCAAGGCAAACGCCCTACCTGCTTGCTGTGCTACGCTCCAGCCCCTGTGGGAAGATTTGTCCCAGGCCTACTCATGCCAATCCTTTGAGCTATTGCCCTGACCCCCAAGTTACGTTGTAAGAAAGGCCATTCAAGTTTAGCATGATTGAATCATGTCTCTGCCCCTTTTTTTTCTTTTCTCTTTTTTCTTTTTTTGGGGTAAGGGCACACCCAGCAATGGTTAGGGTTTACTGTTGGCTCTGCACCCAGGAATTACTCCTGGCAGTGCTTGAGGGGTCGTACAGGATGCTGGGGATAGAACCTGGGTTAGCCACAAGCAAGGCAAGCTCCCTAACTCCAGCTCTCCAGTGCCCCTCTTGTGCATGAAAAGCTCTTGAAAGAGTGATTCGGGGCTGGAGCAATAGCACAGCGGGTAGGGTGTTTGCCTTGCACGCAGCTGACCCGGGTTCGATTCCCAGCATCCCATAGGGTCCCCTGAGCACCGCCAGGAGTAACTCCTGAGTGCTTGAGCCAGGAGGAACCCCTGTGCATCACCAGGTGTGACCCAAAAAGAAGAAAAAAAAAAGAAAGAGTGATTCCCGCCTTGTGCAGCGGGTGGGGTGTTTGCCTCGCATGTGGCCCACCTGGGTTTGATCCCAGCACCCCATTACGGTTTCCTGCGCCCCACCAGGAGTAATCCCTAAGGACAAAGACGAGAGTAAACCTTGAGCATTGCTGGGTGTGCCCTCCCCTATCCAGAAACCAATAAAAAAAAAAAGCATTTCCAGAGAAAGCGGAGGGCGATGTGACTTGCAGTCCTTCTGGAATGTTCCTAAATAACGGACTCACCCTAGGTTCTGGGGGAGGGGGGGCTCGGACGCTGCGTTTCTTCAGCCCTCAGGCGAGACCCCCCCCAGACCCTACTGAATGCGCCCCTTCCCCACCTTACTTTGGGCCGCCCCTGGTGGTGCCCAGCGCGCTCGCCCTCCTGGCCCTGCGCTCGCTCGGGGACCACTTCTGGCTGGACCTGGAGGCCACTGGGGTCCGGGGCACGGACCCCCGGCCTGTCGCCAGCACCCTACCTGCTGGCCTCTCTCCCCCTCCAGCCCCCCGCGTCGCCCCCTTTGCCCTGGCCGCCCCGGTTCTCTCCCCGGGAAGCCCCAGAGGGCCGAGGGAGCACGGCGCAGCGAGTCTGGGAGCCCCCTGGAGGAGGAGGGAGCTGGCGGGGCAGGGGGGAGCGGGGAGGGAGGCGGGACCCCCGGGACCCCCGGGATGCGCACCCGGGCCGGGAAGCGCTTCCCAACGCGCTCCGCCAGGGGGCGCAGCGACCCCGGCGGCCGGGCTGCGGGGCGGGGGGCGCTCCCGGGGCGCTCGGCGGGCGTCTCGCCCCCGCGGCGCCCCCCGCCCCGATCGGGCCTGGAGCCGCGCCCGCACCCCTGGCCGCACCCCTGGCCGGGGCCGGTGACCGGGCGCACGTGGGCGCCGGCGCGGGTGCGGAGTCCCGCGGCCCGGGGTGGTGGGTGGGTGGGGGGGGGGGTCCCAGGGGGATGAAAGGGGCCGCGGGCGGCGGCCGGGGGTCCCCCGCGGGTCCCAAGCGCCTTTGAAGCCGCGCGCAGATGTCGCACCGGGGCGGGGGCGCGGGGCCCCAGAGACCCGGGGCTGGGGGCAGCAGCGCACAAGGCCCTATTGTGGCCCCAGGGTGGCACAGGGTGGCTTTTGTTCCCGCGGGCGCGGGGCGGGGGTCGTGCCAGGCCCGCGCCACCCGGCCCCGGGGGGGCTCGTGCCCGGCCCACGGCCACCCGCGCCCTGGGAAGGCCCCTGGGCGCTCGCCCTGCACGTGCCCCCCGCCCCGGCCCGATCCCCGGCACCCCCGAGGGTCCCCCGAGTTCAGAGCCCGGAGTGAGCCCGGAGCATCACCGGGCGAGACCAGAGGGAGCCTGGAAGGCCTCTAGCTCCGGCCCAGCACCCTGGGGTGCCCAGGGGCAGTCCTTCCCCGCCCCCACGCAGCATCTTTCACGAGGAAAGTCCCCGGTGGTGGCCCCCTTCCCCCTTCCCTTCTTTTTTCACCAGCAGACCACAGTTAAAATCAAAACTTTTATTTATTAAATAATTTTTTTTAAAGACTCCATGAGGGCACGATCCTTTCCCTTCCAGCACGTTACCCTCTCCCCGAGCTCCCGGGCGTGAACCCTTCCACCTGGGGCTGTGAGGGCGCAGGAGACAGGAGAGGAGGGTCCGACGTCCCAGGAAAGGCAATCGAAGGCACGAAGCGGCTTTGAAAGTCACTGGAGGTGGCGCCGGGAGCCTCAGAGACCCGGGGTGCCCCCCATCACAGCCCACAGCTTGGGGACCTCCGCCCTCCCAGCTCGATCAGTCCTTCCCGCTTGTGGCTTCCAGAAGCCAGGCCGAGCAGAGTGCCTTGCCCAGAGGAGGCACCAGCAAATGCTTGATGTCTGTCTGTGAAGGTGACCCCAGAGAAGGCCTTTCCCACCCCTCTTCTCCGAGGCCATCTCCAACCCGATGGCTTCTTCCGCTTGGGTGAGCCTCCCCGAAGGGCAGGGCTCCACCGGCAGCTGCAAACTCTACGTGACCATGGTGACCAGGGATTAGCCCGATGGGGTCACCTGTCCGGAGAGGAGCAGTGGAGGAACTTGCTCTGGGGTGAAGGGAGCCGGGGGACATTCCAGTTCTCCCCTCCATAGTGCTCAGATTCACAGCTTCTGGCCAGGGCTGAAAATGCCAGGGACCCCCCAGTGCGAGTGACCCCGTGTTACTCGAATCACCAACCTAGCTATCCAACCCTACTGGCAGCATTTTCTATGGAAAGAGAAACCCCATTCAGTCATATCCCGATGACAGAAATGCTATTAACAAGATCTCCACTAACGCTTTTTTCTACACACAGCTGAATTTGGCTGAATTTCCCTTAGCAGAGAGGGGTCTCGGGGCCCAGGAGAAGGCTCACCGTGCTGGAGCACATGCTCGTGGGTGCGAGAGCCCCCCGATTCGCAATCCCCAGTTCCACATGGTTCCCCAAGCACCGCAGGGGGTGGCCCCCCCAAAAACAAAAAGGAAATGAAAAGAAATGGATCCCGTCCCTCACCAGTTCACTTCATCCGACCTCCCATCATAACTTAGATAAATAGAATTATTATTACTATTCATTTCTCTAGGAATACAGGGGTTAAATACATAGGCCTGGGGGCAGCCTCCCTGACCCTGGGGTCACCCCATCTCCGGGATCAGATCCCCCACTGGTCTGCCCCCCTCTGGGCACCCCGCTCCCTGCCAGGTCACTCACCCCCGAGCTCCCTGCTGGTCCCTACTGAAGAGGCCACCAGGGGGCAATAAATTATCATCATCATCATCATCTTGTGTTTGTGAAAAGGAGGACCGCTGAAGCGCATGGACAGCAGTGGGGAAGAAGTCGGGCCGGGGGAGACCGGAGCCTGGCAGCTCCGGGGATCGGCAGCCAAGCGCGGGGAACGACACGACACGGATGCGTGTCCAGGAGTGGCCGAGAAGGAGGGGGAGGCGGTGGGGAGCCCAGTGGGGGCGGGCTGGAGCTGCGGGGTCACAGAGGAGAGCCGAGGGCCTGGGCGGCCGGGTGAGGGCCTGAGATGAGCCTTTCGGCCGAAGGGGTGCAAGGGGTGCAGGGCGGGGGAGGCGGGAGCAGAGGAGGCATGCAGGGGGCACCTGGGCCCACACTGGCCAGGGCGGAGCGGAGGGGCCCCGACGGGCAGCATGCTGGGGGGAGGGCCCGAGGGGCGGGCGGTGGTCCCCAGGGCCCAGCTCAGATCTCCAGCAGGTTGCTCTGCTCCGGGCTGCCCCCCGGGGCCTTCTCGGGAGGGGCCGGTGAGGCGGAGGCCCGGGGCGTCTGGCCGGCCTCCTCCTCCCCGGCGCCGCGGGCCTCGCCCAGCTCCTTGGGGCCGCTGGCCGGCGGCGGGCCGGGGCCCGGCTCGCCGTGGGTGCGCTGGTGCTTGCTCAGGTGGTCGCTGCGGGTGAAGCGCTTGGAGCAGAGCAGGCAGGTGAACTTCTTCTCCCGGGTGTGGGTGCGGACGTGGCGCTCCAGCTCGTCGGAGCGGGTGAACCTCTTGCCGCAGAAGAGCCAGTTGCAGACGAAGGGCCTCTCGCCCGTGTGCCAGCGCAGGTGGGCCTTGAGGTGCGAGGCCTTGCCGTAGACCTTGCCGCAGCCGGGGATGTGGCAGCTGTGGATGGGCTTCTTCCGCAGCCCCGCGGCCGCCGCCCCCAAGCGCTCGAGCTCCTGGCAGTTGGGGCAGTCGCAGGACGAGCGCCCGGCCCCGCTGCCCCCGAAGCCCCCGCTGCCCCCGCTGCCCGCGCCCCGCGAGGGCTTGGCTCCGCCGCCCGCCTCCAGCTGCCCGCTGTTGCCCATGGCCTTGGGCTTGTAGACATCTTGGGGCAGCACATGCTGGGGACCAGGCTGCAGGAGGTGCGGAGCCGGGTAGGGGGCCGGGTTCAGCGGGGGGAAGTCGGAGGGGTAGGTGGGCAGCTGGGGGTTGAGCGGCGGCTGGGCAGGGCCGGCGGGCAGCGCGCCCTGCAGCCCCTCGCCCTGGCCCTGCCCGCCTCCTAGCCAGTTGCCCCCGGGATGCATATCCCACCAGGGGGCAGGGGCGTTCCCTGGGCCCGGCGAGAGCCCTGCGTGGATGCCCGCCTTGTACCAGGAGCCGTAGGGGTGTGTCATGTCCAGAGACGTGTAGACGCTGGGCAGGCAGTCGGAAGAACTGTGCCCTTTCGGCACGAGCAGCCCGGGGTCCTGGGTGCCCGCGGGCCCGGGGAATGAGTGGGGAAAGGGAGGGTAGTCGTTGGCATAGCCAGAGGCGGGCGCCGGAGGGCTCCCTGCGGGGGCGAGCAGCCCGTTGGTGCTCGCGAAGGGGGCTGGGTAGGCATCGCCCATGGCTTTGGGGGCCGAGAGGTCACTGCCCACGGGGTAGGCCTTCTTGGCGCCTGTTTTGCTCAGCGTGGTTGAGTCCCGCAGAGGGCTGGAGCCGCCGAACTTGCTGCATGCCGCGGTCAGCATGGCCAGGGGGCTGGAGCCATAGTGAGCTTCCTCCTGCGGGGAGAGGGACACCCGCTCAGCAGGGCGAAGGCAGGGTGCGGGAGGCAGGGCCTGGGGGTGAGGGACGGGGAGGAGGGAGGAGAGGGAAGAGGCGAGAGTCGGGCGCTGATTCCGAGGCCGCCGGAGCACCGACCGGAACGGAGAACAGCAGGGAGGCCCTGGCGCTGCATGTGGCCAACCCAGGTGGGCCCCCGAGCACAGCCAGGTGTGGCCCCAAAACAAATAAAGGGCTAAGCAGCTGCTTCGCAGGTGGGCGCTCCTGGTTCCGTCCCTGGCACCGCAGTGGTATCCTTGAGTACCACCGAGAGCGACTCCGGAGACTCCGAACACCAAACAGGGCATGCCGTATGCTCCCCCCCACCCCCGCAAACACACCAAAAGCAAAAATCCGAGGGACGAGGCCAGTGAGCACTGAGACTCCGGGCAGAGCCCAGATGGAGTTCTGGTGAGGAAAGAGCAGCCTGAGACTGCATCCGAGGGGCCGGAGAGAGAGCCCAGTGGGTAGGGCACTTGCTTTGTTTGTGGCCAATCCAGGTTTGATCCCCGGTGGCCCACATGGTCCCTGAGCACTGCCACAGTGATTCCTGAGCTCAGAGCCAGGAGTAAGCCCTGAGCACCACCGAGGGTGGCCCCCAAACAAAAAGAGACTGCAACCTAACATCCCAAACCAGGAGGCAGGAAACAGGTGGGATTGCTGGGGGTGTGAGGGGGGCAGGAGATGCTCCCTGAAGGGCAGGGAGAAGAGGGGCAGGCCCCGCTTTGAGCCTTCACACCACAGGGTGTCCTGAGCCCACCAGAAGCAGCCCCCAAGGTCAGAGCTGATAGGAGTCCCTGCAGCACCATCAGATGTGACACAGTTCCCCCCCCCCCAAAAGAAAGAATAATAAAGCATAGAAAAGAATGAGGAGAGCAGCACCTGGTGCGGTGAGAGTGAAGGAAGGATCTGACCTTGGAAATAGGTTTGGAACTGATGGAGAACAGGGTCCTGGAGACGGACACGACCTTCACAGACCTGGAGGAGACCACGCCAGTTCCCAGATACGTATTTATTCTCATGATTGGGTTTGGGGCCCATACCCGCTTTACTCCTGGCTCTGTGCTCAGGGACCACACCTACAGGATCATATGCAGTGCTGGGGATTGAACCCAGGCCCGGCTGTGTGCAAAGCTAATACCTTAACTCCTGGACTATCTCTCTGGCTCCAGATTTCTCAGCTTTTTTTTTGGTGGGGGAGGGGCGCTTTTTTTTTTTTATCACACCTGGGGCAACGCGCAGGGGTTCCGCCTGGCTCTGCACTCAGGAATTACTCCTGGCCATGCTCGGGGGACCCTGTGGGATGTCGGAGAATGATCTGGGGTCAGCCACGTGCAAGGCAAACGCTCTACCCGCTGTCCAATTTCTCCAGCACAAATTTCTCAACTTTATCCCGGCGTGTCCTGAGTCTTCTCAGCTCCTTACAGGCTGTGGTCTGGTCTCCTTGAGGTGTTCTCCTATCCTTGGCGAAGAATCTCTTGCAGGACACTTGCCTTGCTCAGGGCAGACTCGGGTTCAATCCCCAGCCACCCCGATGTCCCCCAAACCCACCAGGAGAGATTCCCGAGCACGGAGCCCGGAGTAAGCCCTGAATACAGCCAGGTGTGGCCTGAAATCAAATAAGCCAAACATTTCTTGCAGCGGGCTGGAGAGAGAACGCAGAAGACAAACCAGTTGCCTCGCATGCTGCCCACCTGGGTTCAGTCCCCATGACCCCATACGGTCCCCAGGTCCCCTCCAGGAGTGAGCCTTGAGCGTCGAGCCAGGAACAGGCACAGCTGAGTGTGGGAGCCGCCCCACCCCAAAATATATAAATAAATGAAGAGATGTCTTCGGGGACTCTGTTCGGAGGAGCGAGAGGAAGTGGTGGCAGAGACGCAGGGACATGGAAGGGAACAGGGCTGCAGCCAGCCACAGCGGCCGCGTGGACCAGAACTCTGTCCAAGTGGACACGGGCCCCTCCAGCCGGATGGAGCCGGCTGGCACCCCGTGGGGGGACTGCGAGGGGAGACAGGAAGTCCTCCTGGGTTCCCCAGCGGCAGGAATCGGGTGGCCTCATTAAGCCGCTTCCTCCTCTCTGCCTAACAGGCAGCTGCCGGCTGTTCTCCTGGCGGAGCCTCCCTGCGCACAGGGAGTGAAGGAAGGTGTGGACTGGGGACACGCGGGGGCTGGAAGGGAAGTCTTTAGGAAAGCAAACCGCCTCACTACCCGTCTTGCTGCTCCAAGGCCACTAGTGGTAGGGCCCCCAGGAGGAGATGCCCTCTGCAACCTCTGCCTGACACACACCAATGTCCATCCCCGAGAATCCCACCGAGAAGATGCTCTCAAAAGCTAGTCTACGTAGTGCGCTCCAGGCAAAGCTGACAAAGAACCCAAGCGTCCAGGGCTCCCAGGCCTGCGGAAGCTGCTAGAACGCGCCCGTGTGTGACACCAAGCCCAGGCCAGGTCTGGGCTCTGAAGAGTGCAGCGAGGGGGCACAGTCACCACTTCTGCTCCGCTCACCCAGCGCCGCCAGCCCCTCACGCTTCCTGCCCAGTTAAGTCTCCCTGAGGTCACTTCACCTCGTAAACTCCCAAACTCGAACCACCAAAGCTTTCTCGTCGTATGGGACCATGGTAGAAGTCCCTGCTCCCTGCCAGCCAGGGTTCCTCTGGCAGCAGATGGTGAGGTAAGGCACGGTAGCTAGCAGGGGTGTGTGTGAGTGTGTGTGTGTGTGTGTGTGTGTGTGTGTGTGTGTGTGAGTGTGTGTGTTGCAGGCAGCTTTGCTGAGTAGAGAGGTAGGAGCAAGGTGTCCAAGGAGGCAGGTAGGATCCTGGGAAAAAGGAAAGAGCTATAGTACAAGTGTAGGGCGTTTGCCTTGTTTGCGTCCGACCCGGGTTCGATCCCAGGCATACGCGCCGCCAGGAGTGATTCCCGAGCACAGAGCCAGGCGTAACCCCTGAGTATCTCCGGGCGTGAACACCCCCCACCCTACTACTCCCAAATAAAAAAGGAAAAAGAAAAAGAAATGCCCCCGAGGGGGGTAACAGGCGGTAAAACTGGCACAAAGGGCAGAACCGGGCCAGAACCCAAGAGTGCAGAAAGGTCGAGACGAAAAGCGGTGGGAGGCAAACAGGACAGAAAGAGGTGATGAAAGAGAGGGGGCAGGAGAACAGGCAGGGGTGGAAGAAACGAGGGAGGAGGAGGAGGAGGAAGGCACCCTTGGATCCTAAGAGAAACCCCCAGACCAGGCCACTCCTCCCCCCTTCCCTGGCCGCCCCTCCCCCTCTGCCCAGCCAGGCCGGCTCGGCTCGGGCTCCGTTGGTTTCCCTGCGGTCGGTTTATTTTTAAAAACGCCGACGCGGTCCCCCACCCCCCCCACCGCCCGGCCCTCACACTGTGGCCACAAGGGCCTCAGCCAAACCCAGGGACCCCACCCAGCCGTGGGGAGGGAGTGGGGGTGAAAGATGGCAGGCAGCCCCAGGGCAGTGGGAGACCCCAGCCCTGGGCACAGACAGAGACAGACCTGGGGCAGAGACAGACCTGGCTGGGTTTCACCACAACCTCAGTTTCCTTCTCTTGCTTCTCTTGGGCCAGCTCTCAGCAGAGAGTGACCTGGTGGGGCCGCCATCAGCGATGGAACCCAGGACTCCACACGGGCAAGGCTCGACCACTGAGCTGCAACTGCCCAACCAGTGCTTCCGTGCATGCCTCGGGGCCCGGCTCTGACCCTGGGTGCTGCTGGATTCAAAGGTCCGGAGTCCCAGGGTCCCTGAGCACTGCAGGGAGCAACCCCTGAGCCAGGGGTAGCCCTGAGCAACACGATGTGGCTCCCAATTAAAAAAAAAAAAAAAGAAATAAAAGCAAATAGGGACTGATTCATTAGTACAGCATGGAGGGCGATTGCCTCGTACACAGTCGACCCAGACTCAACCCCCAGTTTCCCCTATAGTCCCCTGAGCACGCCAGGAGTAATTCCTGAGCACTGAGCTAGGAGCAACCCCTGAGCATCCCCAGGTGTGGCCCCAAACAGAAAGTTCGAATAATAAATAGGGGCTAGAACAGGTAGGGCGCTTGTGTTGCTCACGGCCAACCCGGGTTCGATCCCTGGCATCCCGAGACCACCAGGAGTGACCCTAAGCACAGAACCAGGAGTAAGCCCCGAGAACTGCCAGGCGTGGCCCCAGACCCAAATATATATATCGATAAATAAAAGACCAGAGCGGTAGTACAGCTAGGAGGCCACTTGCCTTGCACTCTTTTGACCTGGGTTCGATCCCTGGCATCCCGTATGGTCTCCCGAACGCTGCGAGAAGGGATTCCCAAGTACAGAGCCAGGGTAAGCCCTGAGCGATGCTGAGTTCTATCCCCGACACCCCATAAGGTCCCCTGAGCACCGCCGGAGTGATCCCAGAGCACAGAGCCAGGAATAAGCCCGGAGTACCACTGGGAGGTGGCCCCCGAACAGAAAAACAAAACCCCAAAACTGAAAATCTCACATTAAAAAAGAAGCATGTTGGGGCTGGAGTGATAGCACAGCAGGGAGGGCGTTTGCCTTGCACGCAGCCAACATGGCTGACCCAGGTTCGATTCCCAGCACCCCATATGGTCCCCTGAGCGCCGCCAGGAGCAATTCCTGAGTGCATGAGCCAGGAGTAACCCCTGAGCATCGCCAGGTGTGACCAAAACAGCAAAAAAAAAAAAAAAAAGAAGCATGTTGGGGCTGGAGCAATAGCACAGCGGGGAGGGCGTTTGCCTTGCACGCGGCAGACCCGGGTTCAATTCTCGGCATCCCATACGGTCCCCCGAGCACCGCCAGGGGTAATTCCTGAGCGCAGAGCCAGGAGGAACCCCTGTGCATCGCCGGGTGTGACCCAAAATGCAAAAAAACAAAATAAAGTAAAAAATAAAATAAAAAAGAAGCGTGTGTCCCACAGGAGTCGAACGGATCAGCTTTCCATGGTCAGCTGTCCCATCTGGGTTGTTTTCCTTCCTCCCTCCACCCCACATCCCTCAAAGAAAACAAAATACACGGAGGGCTACAGAGAAGCCATAGAGGGCTTGTGTGTGAGCCCCTAGATTCAGTCCCCCGGGTGAGGGCGGGGGGGGCAGGGACGTAGCTGAGGGAGCACACAGGCCTCCAATGTGGGAGTTCCTGGGTTTAGTCGCCAGCAGCATGCACACACGCACGCACTGCACACACACGCACAAGCACACACATGTACACACATGAGCACGTGCGCACACACACATACACACGCCGTAAGTCCTGAGGAGGGTCTCTGGACAAAGCAGGCCTGAGGGCTTCCTCGGGTGCACCCCCACATTCTCTCCAGGGCGGGAGTCTGGGCGCTTGGAGCAGCCCTCGGAAAGACGCTCACCTACACCTCGCTGATGGGTGCCAGGCTCTGGGCACCGGGCATCCCCCGGCCCAGTTCTCAAGCTTTCCATATCCTCCCAGGTTTACTCGTTCCACCGTCCAATTTTTCACCCTTTGCACACGGCCCCTGTGTTTCCTCATCGTCCCCCTGGTCCCCGCTCACTCGGCCCAAGCGACGCTCTCTGCATGCAGTCACTGCTGCGACCTGAGGACCTCCAAGTTGAAGAAATGGCCACGGAAAGGCCAGGCCGAGGGTGTCCTGGTCATAGCCGCGGGTGAGGCAGTACAGGAAACGGGGCTGATGCCCCCAAGGAGGTGAGAAGGTTGGAGGCACAGGGATGCCTCTGTCGGGGCATCTCCAGGGCACGGGCCGAGGTTCCTCCTGCCCAGGGCGCCCCCCATCAATCCAGGGCTTCCCAGCAGCTTGGGGTCAGCCCCACCCCCAGGCGCCACTGCCACGTTGGCAACTCTGGCCTGACGCCCACGCCCACTGACACGGCCCCTGCCTGGAATGAGCCCAGGGTTCTCACGTACCTTATTCCTCCGGCTTCCTCGAGACCCCCCGTGGGGGGTTCAACAATAGCTCAGTCTCAGGGAAAAGCAGGGCGAACTTGCCCGATGGCAGCCTGGCAGCCGGTTGTGGGCACAAGACTGTCCTGGAGGAACCACCCCCCCCCCAGAGACAAAGGCGTGGCATGTGCCCCACTGTCTCCATGCATCTCCTCGAAGTCGCCACCGATCCACAGCCCCACCTCGCCTCACCTGCACGCACAGATACTCCCGAGCTTCTGCACACACACACACACACACGCGTGGGCTCACCCGGCCTGGCCCCGTCCAGGTCGCGCGCTAAGGCCAGACCACGGAGCACGCCAACGCACACACGTCTCGAGCAGGTCCAACGCCATGTCACTTCCTGCGTGGCCCAGAGACGTGCGTTTGGGCACTCACAGGAGTTGGGGACTTGTGGGGTGGGGGGGGGACCGCAGACGACTACGAAGAGCTCAAGGCTACCGAAGGGGAACGACCTTTCGGGGCCCAAGTTCCTGTGAGGGACCTGGAAAGCAGGAGGAGCCGTGGCCAAAACCCTGGGAGCGACCCAGCCACGAGAGAGCAGAATTCGAAACGGTCCCCAGCCTCTGCGCGCTCACACACCTTCCCGACTCCGCCGAATCCTCCAGAAGCCCTCGTGGGAGACTTAGCATTTTCTCCAGAACCCAAACCAGACCCCCGCCCCCAACACACACACACACACACAGACCCACATCCCCAAGACCAGAGGCCGGGGCCACCGCTGGGGTCCCGGCCTGCCGGGGAAGTCGCCCCATCCGCCCCGGCCCTGGAGCCTCCCACTCCCAAAATAGAGCCGAGTTTGTCTTTGGCTGAAAGTTAAATATTTGTGAGCCGGGCAGGCGGCCTCAGACCCTGGCCGTCCTCCTGGGTTCCCTCGCAGGCCTGGACCCAGGCTCTCCGGTCAGCTCCCCCACATGCTCTGGTCTCTGGTTCCCTCCAGCCCAGCCCCTCATCCTCAGACCCCAGCCCAGAGGCCAGCCCCCTTCTCCCCCCCAAACCAGCAGGGACCGGGGCTGCCCAGGCTCGAGTTCCCAGAGAGGGACCCCAGGGAACCGTGTGCAAATGCTGCTCTCCGCCCCCCCTCCCCTCTCCCCTTCTCTCGCCCCTCCTCCCTCGTCCCTGTCCCACTGCCCAGGGCTGGTGCGAGGCTGACCGTCGTCGGGGTGCCTGCCCTCTCCTGCCCTCGTTCTCGCCTCATCTTCCCGACCCCTGGCTGGACTCCTCTGCCCTCACCCCTGCCCCGTGCTCCTCCCTCCTCCGGCCGGTCCCACTCCTCTCCTCCTCCAGTGACAGGCACCACAGCAAGTGTCTGTGCGAGAAGCGAGGGAGCGAGCGGGGCGGGAAGGGACAGCGCTCGCTCTGGCAGGGAGGAGGGGCAGTTACCTCGAGCAGGGAGGACGCCATCCTGAGGCTGGGGACCGGGTCCCAGGGAGCCAGGCAGATGGAGAGCCGAGCCGAGGAGAGAGAGGGAGCGGGAGAGGGAGGGAGAATGGGAGAACGGGAGAGAAGAGATCTAAAGTTAGAAGGGACTGGGGGGTGGGGGTGGGGGGCTGCTCTCTGTCTGTAGGGATCCACCCTCTAATTACAGCTTTCCCAGCGGGGAAGGCTCCGGATCCAATGAGCAGGGCGAGAGAGGGAGGCAGAGGGTCCAAATTTCCTGCTCCATTTGCCAGCTCCCCAAAGAAGGGATCTGGGCGGGAGAGGAGAAGAGGGCTCCCAGGGAAGGGGTGGGACGGGAGGAGGGGGAGCAGGGCAAGTTGTCAGGGCTTCCTCGGGGGTGCCGGGCGGGACTCGAGGCTGGTGGCCCAGGTGGCCGCCCAGCACCCCCGGTCGGCTGCGGCATCTGTGGCAGACGCACAGGGCGGCCCCTGTCATGTACCTGGGCGCTGGGCGGAGGGTCCTGGCGCGGCTGCTCTCCCAGGGCTGGCGGGGGGCGTGCGGCCGGGGGTCGCGGGGGTCCCCCAGGGGCTCGCGCCTCTCCCAGGCCAGCCCCGCTGCGCTCGGGCTGCGGCCGCGATCCCAAGGTCCTACTGAGACTCCAGAGCCGGGCGCAGTGGCTGCCGCCGCCGCCAGAGGGAAAGGGAACAAACCCCAAACCACTAATTAGAGACCCAGGGGGGGGATGGGGGCTGGGGACGACACTCACACAGCGGGGCTGGAACACACCGACACACACTCACGGACAAACACAGGCCCACGGCCAGCGTCCCAGCGAACACGCACGCACGTGGCAGGAGCACACACGCCGGGCACACGCCGAGTGACCTCCGCAGGCGGCCTGCCTGCCTCTGACCCCACCGGGGGACCGGGAGCGGGGGGCGGGCAGAGTGCGTGGGGCTCTGGGGGGTGTTGTTTGTGCATGCGGAAGGCGATGTGTGTGGTACGTGTGTGTGTGGTACGCATGATATGTGTGTGGTGGATGTGATGAGTGTGTGTAGGTGATGTGTATGTGACGTATGTCGTGTTTGTTGTGTGCGGTGTGTACTTATGGTGTGGATATGTGCTGTGTGTGACGATGTGCTTTGTGTGCACGGTGTGTCCGTGAGTGTGATATGTACACGTTGTGTGTGTATGTGCTTGTGTGGTGTGTATTGACTGTGCGGGGTGTGTGCTATGTACGCGCGTGGTGTGTGTCAGTGCGTGTGGTGTGGATGTGACCGTGGGGGCTGTGTGGTATGTTTGTGTGTGTCTGTGTGTGGAGGCATGTGTGTATGGATATGACTGTATTGTGTATGGCATGTTTGTGTGTCTGTGTGTGGTGTTGTCTTTGTGTGTATGAAGTATGTGTGGTGTGGATATGACTGTGCGTTGTGTATGTTTTGTTTGTGTGTCCGTGTGTGTGGTCTTGTCTTTATGTGTGTATGAGGTGTGTGTGTTGTGTGGATGTGACTGTGGTGTGTATGGTATGTTTGTGTGGGTGTGGATGTGGTGTGTGTATCTTGTGGATGTGACTATGTGGTGTGTGTGGTATGTTTGTGTGTGTGTGTGGATGTGGTGTTGTCTGTGTGTGTATGAGGTGTGTGTGTTGTGTGGATGTGACTATGTGGTGTGTGTGTGGTATGTTTGTGTGTGTGTGGATGTGGTGATGTCTGTATGAGCATGAGTTGTGTGTGTTGTGTGGATGTGACTGTGGTGTGCATGGTATGTTTGTGTGTGCGTGTGGATGTAGTGTTGTCCGTGTGTGTATGAGGTGTGTGTGTCGTGTGGATGTGACTAGGTGGTGTGTGTGTGGTATGTTTGAGTGTGGGGGTGTGGTGTTGTCTTTATGTGTGTAAGCATGTGTGTGGTGTGGGCGTGTGTGCCGTGCCTTGTGGGAGACAGGAATAAGGGGAGGCTTGCTGGGGGAGCCTTCTACTGCGAACCGTGAGGGCCTCCGAGGGCGGTTTCAGAGCAAGGCCCCGAGGCAGGTCCAAGGGTTCTCCTGTTTCCCTCTCAAGGCCTCGGTCCTATTTCTAGGCTCTAACACCAACACACTTTGTGAGGAAGAACCCGGAAATTCTGACTTAGAGACAATTTCAGACACACAGAAGTGAATGGAAGGTCGTGAGCTCGTCCATGAGGAGTCCAGCCTTTGGGAATAGAAATCAGTAATAGGTCAAGATAAATAAAGGCAGGAGGCTCCGCCCTGGACGCCGGCCATCCTGCCAGCCCCCCCCCCCCCCCAGGTCCGAGGTGGACGCACACCTGACCCAGCCCTCTGGTGGGTCATTCTCCACCGACCCGGCTCTGCCCACTGCAGCAGGAAGACAGGAAGTGAGCGCCCGGCAGAACTTCCCGACCTGAACTTCCCATCAAAACGGGGAACGGGCTGGGCGAGGAACCCCAGAGTCTGAGAACAGGAACCTGGGCCTTGAGGAGAGCCACTGGGAGGCAGGAAGGAGCCCAGCAGCGAGCCAGCAGGGCCCCTCCAGCAGGGCCCAGAGCTGGGCCGGCCCAGCGAGTCACACCCCTCCCCCCTGCCCATCCGACAATGGGCCCTCTCCATCCCCACCCCCCTGCTTGCTTTTTGTTCTTCTTTTGTGGCTGCATCAGGGATCAGCTCCCGGTGGTGCTGGGGCACCGTATGGTCCTGGGGACTGAACCCCAGGGAAAGGCCTTCCCGCCCCTCCGGTCTCCACCCCGTCGTCCTGCTTTTCACTGGAGGCCCCCATTCCTTTGCTCCTTGTCCGTGCTCTCCGGGGGGCAGGCGACGGGGAGGGGCCGAGGGAGATTCCCCAATTCAGGGTCACGTGGTCAGAGCAGCAGGTGTGCGGGAGAACCGGACAAGGAGCCCCAAGGCCTCATTTCTGGGCAAGTGTTAGGGACCCAGCGGGGGGCCTGGCCGATCACGGGAAGGAGGAGAGAGACTGAGAGACACGCGTGCGAATGAGATCGCTGAGTGGATCCAGAGAAGCCTTTGGGATCACGGAAGGAGAGCCGAGCAAAACGGAACAGCCGGTACGTGGCAGTAAACAAAACGAAACCCAAAAAAGGCAAAGAAGGAACCAAAAAGGCCAAGAAGACAATGACACTCCGAGACGGGTCAGAGAAAACAGCCCGGGGCCGGCTCGGAGGAGGCAGAGGGTGAAGCGGCCGGGCAGGTGGGGGGCAGGGACGGAGTATAAATAGTGCATAATTGTGTCCGATGATTACATGGGCCACCCCACCCGTCTGCCCAAGAGGAAGTGCCGTGGTGGGGTGTCCCTGTGACCTCGAAGTCTCCCCCTGGTGGGGGTTGTCTGGTCTGAGGCTCCAGGTGGATTTCTGGGGCCGTTCAGAACTCGGGAATGAGAAGAGAGAGGATTTTTTTTTCTCTTCAGTTTTTGGGCCACCAGCGATGCTCAGGGGTCACTCCTGGCTCTGCACTCAGGAATTACCCCTGGCGGTGCCCGGGGGACGCTGTGGGGTGCCAGGGATCAAACCTGGTCGGCCACGCGTAAGGTAAACGCCTGAGCTGCTGGACGGTCGCCCCAGCCCCAAAGAGGGGGATCTTTGGAGAAATTTGTTTCAGGAGAACCTGAAGCCAGTTAGGTGTGGGTAACTGAGGCAGAACAGAAAAATCTAAGTGGGTAGGTGGTGGTAGTGGTTGGGTGGGCTGGCGTTCAAATAAGCCTGGAGAAAAGAAGAAGAAAAAAAAGGGGGGACGATCCCCAAAACGGCAGGAAAGATGAACAGGGTTTGGGGCAATAAGATAAGGGGCAGGGAGGGGGAATCTTCTCCACTTTCCTTGGGGGCCTCGATCCCTAATTCTGCCTGGAGAGGGAGGGAGGGAGGGGGGCAAAGGGACAGGGTCCCCCAAAAGATGTGAGCCCCCGGCCACGGGGCCCCTCCCAAAGTCGGTGCCAGAGCCCTGGGCTGCCGCCTCCAACCCCAACCCAGACTGCAACCACACCCTTTTTTTAGAAAGTCCTGCAGCGGAGACACTGGGTCCAGCCCCACCTCCAGCGTTATTCCCAGTGCTCGGGGCTGGGGAAAGCCACCCGAGGCCTTCCCAAGCCCCCGTCGCCGGCCCAGCCTCCCAAGGGGTGGGGCAGCCCGGCCCGTGGAGGCGCCATGTGGCAGGGCGGGCTGGGCTGCGGCTCTGGGCCTTCCAGTATAAACCCCCCAGGCATCTGGTTTCCATCCACCCCCCCACCACCCTGGGGGCCCCTCAGCCTCCGCCCATGGCCACCCAGACACTGAACTCTCCGAGAGATGGACGCCCTGAAGGACGCGGAGGGCCGGTGCCTCTCTGATCTCCCCACCCAGGACTGAACCCGCCGGCCACAGGAACCCCTCCCTGCCCTGCCACCCTGCGCCCCCCGCAGAAGGGAAGCCGGGGCGGGCGGGGTTTCGAGGTCAGAGGGGGCCTCGTCGGGACGCCGAGCTCCCCTGAATGGAGCCCTTTGGAAAGGGCAGTGGGGCTGGGGAGAGTGAAAACCGGGAGACCCCCGGGCCCCTGCTCTTGGGCTCTGCCTCCATCCACACCCTCCGCCGCCCTCCTAGGCTGGACTCGGGCTCAAGAGCCTTCTGGACTGTCGTTCTAGGTTTGGTGACCTTGGAGAAAGCCCCAGTGAACAACAAATAGAGCCCCTGAGTTAGACACAGCGACACACCCCAACACACACCAAGTGAGTGACACACTTTACGGTACACACAGAGGGCAGACGGCCTATTACGATGAGATGCACCGGCAGCTGTGCTGATGGGCAGACCCCTGTCTACAGATGCAGGCCACACCTACCCCCTCCACAACACACATTCACACCAGGACCCATCCCCGTGAAGTCTTCACGCGGAATCCCCCCCCCCCCCACCCAAGTCTCCGTGGACCCACAGGCACTCACAACAAGAGCACTGTAGCACTGCCCTCCCCTTGTTCATTGATTTGTTCGAGCGGGCAGCAGTAATGTCTCCATTGTGAGACTTGCTGTGACTGTCTTTGGCATATCGAATACGCCACGGGGACCTTGCCAGGCTCTGCCGAGCGGGC